TGGGATGGGAAACCCAGGGACGGTCTTGAGCTGGGACGTGACACAAAGTGACGGAGCTTTAACAGGTCACCCCAGCTGCTGCAAGGGGGCTCGACGAGGGAGCGAGGGTGGAAACCAGAGGGCGGGTGGGAGCCGGAGTCCACGGCGGCCCGTACCACATGGTTGCGGCAGAGGTCACAAGAAGGCTCAGAGTCCAGGTGTTTCGCAGGTAGGGCTGAGACAGTCTGCCGACCTGGGCTCCCGCCTGCAGGATCATGGTACTAACAGAATGCGGAAAAGAATGTCGGCACTCTGCAAAACTCCAACGTGACATGCAAACACGAGGGAGCCGCCGTCCGTGGCGCATTTTATGATCATGTTTTCCTGTAACCTCCTGCGAGACGTAGAGTCTCGTCTACATTTTAGTGACGAGGGAAGCAAACTGTAGAGCGCCAAGCTGTAATGTGCCCCAGGCCACGGTCAATGCCCAGAGGGTCAGACTCAAGCCAGAGCTTCCGACCTGTGCTCTTAGCGGCGCTGCCACGCGGCGTCCCCGGCAGCACCCGCGGCATTCCCCAGGGGCCGTGGCTTCGCCTGGAAGTCTCAGTGTGCGTCACCGCCGATCCCGCCGTGATGGAGTGTGTGCCGGGCGTCCACGGACCCACGCGTCGGAGGGCGGGGAAGGGCGAGGCGGGTTTGCCGAGGTCGCTGTGAGGATCTCTGCGAAGACTGCTTTGTCCCGTCTTCCCACGGGCCTTCCCGCCTGCGCTCCCCAAGTCCCTCCTGTGCTGCCCAAGTCCCGCCTGCGCCCAGCTGTGCCTGTGACCCTGCTTCTCCCCCCGCGACCCGCAGAGCACTGCGTGGAGTTCCAGAAGACCAACGGCTCTCTGAACCTGACCTCCGAGAACGCCTCCTCCCCTGTCATCGAGTTCTGGGAGTAAGTACGGCCCCTTCCCCGCGTGTTCCCCGGAGGGGCAGGGGAGGGGCTCACGCGGGCGGCAAGGGAAGCATCCGGCAGCCGCCGCCAGCCCAGAAAGTCACTAAGTGGCTTTTCCCGGTTGGCCTGCGTGTTCGGAGGCGAGAACCCTGCGGTTCTTCTTGGGCTGGGCCCCATGTGCCCGCCTCACCTGGCCACGCGGATACACGTGGCGCGGCGCGTGGGCGCTCTCCCAACTCCCTCCTCTCTGGCGCATGAGCCTTGCCACTTGTCCACCCTGGTGCCTGGGGCTCGATTCCTGATACGAAACATCCTAAAACCATGGCTGAGAAAACGCGTGTTTGCACCTCCTTCCCCGGGGTAGCCAGGACGCAGAGCAGCGTGCCTGGGGACAGGGTGTGTCTGCCTCTGTCTCTGCTCGGAGGACAGCCCCAGGGCCTGAGCGAGAGAGCCGGCAGGCCCTGGACAGAGCCGGGAGGCACTGGGGCTGGCAGCCAGGGCGGAGCCGGGTCGACCTTCTCCCCAGGCGGCGGGTCCTGAAGATCTCGGACGGCATCCAGCACCTGGGGGCCCTGCGCTGGGAGCTGGCCCTGTGCCTCCTGCTCGCCTGGGTCGTCTGCTACTTCTGCATCTGGAAGGGGGTCAAGTCCACGGGCAAGGTCTGTGCGGAGAGCCTCTGCCCCCCCGGGGGTGCCCTGAGCCGTGGGCTCGTCAGAGGTGGGAGGGAGGGACCTGGTGAACGTTTCCTGCGACTCCGGGCCGCGCTTCTGCGCCTCTGCTGGACTCGGTCCCGAGCACGTCTGGTGTTTAGGGAGACGGAGTGGAAGGGGGTGAGAAAGGCGGGAGGGGCACCCCCCGGGAGTTTGGTCTTGAAATATGCCAAGCGTGGGGGCGCATCGCACACCCAACGCTGTCCTTGGTTCCCCGTCTCCTGTAACGGTTCTTTGGAAAAAGAATTCCATTAAGACTAGTTATCTCCAAATGATTCTTGCCCAACTCCAGAATTTTGGGGTGCTCTCTGCCCTAGAGGTCATGAGGTGTTCGGGGCATTCTAAGTTCTTCTGGCCTTGTGCCCTGGAGGCCTCTGACAGCTTCCTTCCCAATCGGGCTTCCCGGCTGTGCTGAGCCAGTGAGCTCTGTGAGGACGGGGACCGTGCGCCACAGATATTTTCATACCTGACAGCCCTTGCCATCATTCCAAGCACGCTAGCTGGGAGAACGCCTAAGTTCATTTAGTCACTCAACAAACACTTACTGAATATGTGTCGCTGGGGGGAGGAAGGCTGAGGGGAGGCTTAGGGAGATGGGCTGCGCGGCCGTGGTGGGTGGGAGGGAGGGAGCAGGAGGGGCTGAGCCCAACCTTTCTAAGCAGCCCCGTCCCCGCCTCCTCTCCCTCTCTGCCCTGGCCAGGTGGTGTACTTCACGGCCACGTTCCCTTACCTCATGCTGGTGGTCCTGCTAATTCGAGGGGTGACGCTGCCCGGAGCCGCCCAGGGAATTCAGTTCTACTTGTACCCAAACCTCACACGCCTGTGGGACCCCCAGGTAAGGAGCCACAGACAGGGCCGGCCCGGGGCTCCGGAGGGGAGCCCCTGCTCCTGGCCCGACCCCAGGGCGTCCGTGTGGTGGGCACACGCTTCCTTCTCCAGACGTCTGCAGCAGCTGTTCGTGGTCAAGGTGTCTGATGCTGCCCCGTCCTGGTTCACGGGGCACACAGGGGACCTGAGCCCCGGTGACATTTCTCAGGGGCTGCGAATATGCCACTAACAGCTTCACTCAAGGGCTGAGCCGTTCTCCCCTCCGTCCCCCCACGCCCTTCAGGCACTCGTCTCTTGGCGAGCTCGTCTACTGAGCCTCCTGTCTAGTGCTCACCCTCCGCCCTGCCACCGTCCCTCCTGCCCACGTGACTCGGCCGCAGGCCTGGCTCCCTGGCCTCCCTCTGGCAGCTGGGCCGGTGTTAAGTTTCCCGTCAGTTCCTCCGCAGTCTGCTGCCGGCGTCCTTGTGGCCGGGGCGGGGGCGCTGCTCCCCGAGAGGAGGGTTTGTGGAGCGAGGCCCAGAGCGAGACTGCCCTGCCTCCGACAGGCCTCTCGTTTTCTCCTCTTTGGCAGCCACGCGAGAGCTGGCAAAGACAGGAGGCGCTGAGGGCTGGCGGGGAGGGTGGCTAAGCTGTACCCCAGAGCCCCCGAAATTTCATTACCATTTAGGCACTGTCCTCTGACTCCTCGGGTCAGAGGCCACCCTCCCTGGGGACCATGTGTGCAGTAGAGTCCCTCCGCTTGGCGGTTGGAAGACCCTCTGGGTCACTTAAGGGCAGGCAGCTCCCAGCACACGGAAGACTGGCGCTGGGTGGCTTTCCAAACACTCCGGAATAGCAGGGCACTGCCACAGTCACCGAAGCTGCTGCCAGGGGCAAAGGAAGGGCGGGCGCACGGTCCAGAGGTCACACAGAGGCCGCGGCGCCCCGAGCAGAATTTCGGGTGATCCGGAAGCTGAACGTGCTCAGGTCTCCCCGCCGCCCCTGCCTGGGTCATGCCTCTTCCGAGCCGAGTTCCACGGGGACCGCCGTGGCCTCCGTCCTGGCTGGGATGTCAGCTTATCCTCCCTTGCCATTTGCTAGACGTCACGGTGCTACAGACGGCCACCCCCTCACGTCTGTGCGGGCACGAGGGCTGCGGTCGGGCTTTGAGCCAAACAGCACAACCACGGCTGTCGCAGCCCGAAGGATCCCAGAGATCGGCTGTGCAACTCCCTGTTGCACAGACGAGCAAACTGTGACCTGAGGTCGCACAGCAAGTGCGTGCCAGGCCAAGCAAAGGGGACTTCTGCTTTGTGAATCACAAGCGCTGTGACTTATCCGGAACCGAAGGGCTGTGAGGAGAGTAGGTGGCAGGCGGCAGAGTCCAGGGAAGGCTCTGAGGGCCCCGCCAGGCGTCGGCCTGGACCCCCGTGCGCCAGAGCCGCTGCGGTCCTGGCGCCGCAGAGCTGGGCTCCAGCGGCGAAGCTACGGAGCCCACCTCCGTTTGCAGGCGGCCCGAGAGGAGGCAGTGCTCAGGCAGGACACAGGCAGGCGGGCTGGAAGAGAGAAAGAATACAGGGACCCAGTGTTTCCAGAACCAATTTATGGCTTTGTCCTGCTCAGCCCCTTATAGCCCGCAACTGCCAAGTGCCGTCCCTGGCGTCGTTAGGGGTTCCTGGCGTTCTTTCGGCCGACCTCGCAGCAGACGAACGAGGCGTCCCAGTGCATAGGCAAGGAAATCAGGGCCTGGCCAGCTTGAAGAATGTTCCGTCCTCACGCCTGCAGCTGGAACCAGATCTGCACGATCTCAAGCCCCACATACCTTGTGGTCTCCGCTCGAAGACCAGGTCCCTGTCTGCTGGTCCTTCCCCTCAGAGCTTGTTCATCCGCAGACGTTTGTCGAGCATGTTCTGTGCCAGGTCTGTTCTAGGTGCCGCGTTTGGTGTGGGGCGGCTTCCAGCAAATAGGAAGCAGGTGGCCCAGGGAGCCTCCCACTCTGAGAGCCAAGAAGGCCGTAGGCCTGTGTCCGGGCGACTGCAGGGAGTGAGGCTGCCAGTCTGCGCTCCGGGACACCCGCCTTCCCGCTCCAGCCAGCTGCGGGCTGGGAGGGGGCGTAGCTCTTCCAGGTGCTTTGAGGCTGCAGGAGGGAGATGTTTTGAGAGCCAGGCCTGGTCCCGAGTCTCCGAGCAGCCGTTTTGTCTGCCTGGTTCCGGCCCCACGCTGAGGCGAGGCCTTCGTAGTCAGTGAACACAGCAGCACCCGCGGGGTGGGACGTCCTGCCGGAGCCCTAACTGGATCTGGGGGGGCACTCCCCGGGAAATGTGATAATTCCCGCTGGCATTTGCCTGGCACTTGGGAAGGCTGCGAGATTCCTGCTCGCCAACACGCAGACCGAAGCCATGTCTCTCTGCCAGGCACGAGGCCGGCAGCCGGGAGCCAGGCACGGAGAATGCCACCTCGCCCGTTTCCTCCCATCTGCCGGCTGCCCTGCCGCCTGACGTCCCCGGGCTTGTCCCTCGCACTGGGGAACGGCGCTGGGGACCCGGGGCTGCCCCACGCAGGGCGTGCGCCACGTGGACCGCTGTTTCTGTCCCGCGTCCTGACGCGGTGTCTGCTCTGCTGCGCTTTGGCGGATGGATAAGAGCAGGGGACGGGAGTCCGGTGTTCACAGAGCCCCCACTGAAAACTTAAATCCCTTTGTCGAGCAACTCTAGTGAAAGATTTGTTTAGGGAGGAAGTTGGAATCGTTGACTAGAACTAGTCTTTTTGTTTCAGTATTGAAATCTATGTCACCTCATTATGACGAGAGGTGAGCTGCTTTTTAAAATAACAACAAGAAGCCAGGTGCGGTGGCTCACACCCGTGACCCCAGCACGCACTCCAGTCTAGGCAACAGAGGGAGACCCTGTTTCTAAAAGAGGGAAAAAATAAAAGCAACAACAAACAACAGCCAAAGCTAACATTTATTAAGCACCTATCATTTGCCAGGTACTTTGCTGAGAGCCTGACACAGTTCAACCCTCAGACTAACCTGTGAGTCGGGGGGTCGACGGGGGAACAGAGGCTTAGGAAACCTAAGAAACTTGCCCAGAACCGCAAAACTGGCTTATGGGGGAGCTCGGGTTTATCCCAAGTAGCCTTTTGAAGTCTGTTGTCTTAATCATCATGATAGATCTTAACCAAAGGATAGGAATTATTTTGAGAGTTTTAAGGGCTGCTTTTTGTTATTCTGGAAGATGAGATAGGAAATGGATATTTATTTGTTAGGTATTTTATATACATTATTTTATTTGTTGTCATGCCCATTTTCCTGATGAGAAAAGGGAGGGTCAGAGAGGTTGAGTGACTTGCCTAAGATCACACAGCCAGTATTTAGTAAAGTTAGGAATTGAGCCCAGATCGATTTGACTCCAAAGTCCATGCTTTTCCCTTGACACACCATTGCCTTCCTAAAAATAGTGGATAGATGTTAATAATCCTGGGGGGTAGACTCAAAGCTGAAAACGTCTTCTGGATCTTCTAGAGGTTTCTCTCCTCTTCTCTCCCCAAAAGACTTCTTTTCCCCCACACCACACTGAGCGTTTTTCACACTTGTTTTTTCCTTGATTGGCCTTCCGCCCCAGCCAAAGACACATCAGAGCTTTGTTCCAGACACCGGCGCTGCTGGAGTGGGAGGCGGGGAACAGCTTGCCCTGCTTGCGCCACGGCCCCCCGGCCGCTCCAGCCCTGCCCAGCAGGCCTGTCGGGCAGCAGCTGCGCGGAGAGCGGGGCTCGCCAAGCGCCCAGCAAGGGGCTTTGGCCACAGGCCCATGTCTAACCCCTGAGCTCTGAGCTCACGGCCCTCCTGCTGCACCCTGCTCTGTTCTCGTTGACCTTCCTCCCAGCCGGCCTCCGTCTGAGCCCGCTCCCACCACCCCCGCTCCGGGGCGAGGAGAACAGCCGAGTCTCGATTTCTCTCATTATTCTCCCCGAGCCCAAGTTCGCAAAGCTTCGCCGTGGCAGGTTGCACGCCTGCCTGCGTGTGGGCCGCAGGGTGTCTCCAAGGCAGTTTCCCTGGTAACTGCGGCCCGCTCTGCGCCCTGCCCACCACCAGGTGCGGGAACACATGTGTCCCCGAGGCCACATCCGGTGACGTGCTGGGAGGCAGTGCCGAGCGTGGCAGCTCAGGGCCTTGCGCTGCCAGGTCCTGCGAGGGGGCAGGGACAGGTGGAGCAGAGTGATGGAGCAGAGTGACCTCGTGCGGAGGTTCTGAGACATGGGATCTGCCGGGCAGAGTTTTCGTAGAGAAGAGGACTTGAAATCCCCTGAAGGAGCAATCGGCCTGGGCCGGGCATCTGCCCCAGCCGGGTGTGGCATCGTGGGGTTTCGCCAGCGCTCCCCTTGCCCGTCCTCCGGGCCCGCCTCGCATTCCGACCCCTTCCTTCTCTAACTTCCGACGTAGATCCCGAAACCCTCTCTCCCTTCCGCGTCGTAAATTTTCCTCGTGTTTGAAAAAGTTTCCCTGGTGCTTCCGCCCTTCTGAGCTGCTTCCTTGACGCTCCGGCCCCTCTCAGTCCTCTGTGCTTCTCGCCACGGACCCCCTTCCCTGGTGCCCTGCGGAAGGCGCCAGAACAGGGCTGCAGCGGGCACAGGGACAGAATGCGGGAGACACCCGCTTCCCTGCTCTGTCCCGTTCCTGCAGAGGCTGCAGCGAGAGAGGAGGGGGCCTGGGCGTGTCTCTGACCCCGTCTCGGGGGCTGTGGGGCGGGGTCCTGCAGCGGCTGTTCCTTAGGGTCCCCCAGGAAGCTTAGGAAAGGATTCGGTTTCCGGGTTCTTCTCCAGGCCCAGAGAGTGAGTGTGCCAACTGGGGAAGCTGCTTGGGGACTCAGTGTGCCCCGAGGCTGTCGGCTTGGCCAGGGGTCCCTCGGACCCCAGCAGCGCAGAGGCCAGGGGGCAGCGTGTAGGGGTGGCGGCAAAAAGAGAGGCCCGGGGGCGGGGCGGAGGGTGGCGCTGAGGGTCAGGCAGGCAAAGCAGAGACGGGGAAGGGGCGAGGCGCGTGGACAGGAAAGGCCGAGGCTTCGGCGCGTGGGGACCGCAGGCCGGTGCTGGGGGAGGGAAGGAGGGCAGGACGGAGGCTGTGGACAGCAGGCGCCTGTTTGGGGGCTGCCGGGATGGGGCCGGGGGAAGGCACGGCGGGGGCACAGACACGTGAGGGACACCTGCCCCGGCCACATCTTCGTCCACGGCATGTTGCGTCACGTGGCGCTTGCATCTGCCGCGGGTGGCAGTGCGGGGGAGGGGCCGCAGCCCGGCCCCCACCTCCCTCGATCCGCAGGCTGCTTTGTTCTGTTGCTGGATGCTCTTTCTCTCGGGGCTGTTGCTCTAGCTGTGGGCGCTGAATCGTAACATGCACGGCTGGGCCGGCCAGCTGAGATAACAGCCGCGAGGACAGACCCCGGGTTTGGCGGGAGAGTCGCTTTCCCCCGCGGAGTACAAAGCCCTCCCAGACGCATTTCTGTTCACCCTCTTGACTTTCCGTGGCTGCGGATTACTCCCCCCGGTTTTCTCGGGGAGGGTTCTGAGACGGGAGACGCAAAGCCACACCCTCGAGACGGCTCGGCCGTTAGGACCCACGTCGCTAGGGGCGCTGAGTGTGATTCCTCCCGTGCTGGTCGCACCACCGCCGCCGAGGATGGCGGAAGGCAGGGCGGAACCCACGATCACGACCTCGACGGCAGGCCCAGCTCCGTTCCGGGGCACCGTCCCGTCCTGCCACACGCCTCCACCGTGGGTCCTCGGGTCCTTTCCTCTGAATTTCTAACGCCTGTTCCATCCCGGTGGTGCCCGGGAAGTGTCGTCTGGGAGCCGGGGAACAGAGCCCACGGAGGCAGCAGGGCTGGCAGGGCGCCCGCGCCAGCTGAGAACAGGTTTCCGTGCAGCCCCGGCCGGGGCGGCTCAGCTGCCTGCCTGCGTCCCTCCACGAGGCCTGCAGGCCCGTCTTCTCTGGAGCTCGGCTTCCTCCCCTCTTCCCTTGCAGGTGTGGATGGATGCGGGCACCCAGATCTTCTTCTCGTTCGCCATCTGCCTCGGCTGCCTCACGGCCCTGGGCAGCTACAACAAGTACCACAACAACTGCTACAGGTGAGGGGGGAGTGGGGCCGAGCACACCTGCGTCCCTCTCCTGCCCTCCAGCGCCCCGGACCAGGCTGAGCTGGAGGCTGCACTGGCTCCTGGCCTGGCCTTCTGTGCCCAGCGCCCCCGGCCGCGCCAGCAGCCTGGCTTCTCCCTGTCTTCACGTCACCCCTCAGCCCCCTCCCGTGCAGCCTGGCTCACCTCATGCCCCCCGCGGCTCCCTTCTGCCTCCTGGACTCACGCCCAGGGAATTTAAGCTGATGCTGACATGAGCTGAAATGCAGCTGCAAAAATCATCGCGTGCATCTCAGAATCAAGTTTGGGCAACCGAGAGTTCTTTGTTGTTTGGGGTCACCCGTGTCCCCAGTCCCTTTGCACGCCACACGGCACTGTGGCAGGGGGCGGTGTCCCGTGACGGGGCGCAGTGTGGGAGGGGCGGCCGTGTGGCGGTCTGTGATGTTGAGATTCACGGCTTACATCCTTGGGGCCTCATTCTTTTAGGACAACCTCGATTTATTCCCCGTCCGAGCCAGTGGGGCCCGGGTGGTGGTGGGAGGACCAGCACCCCGAATGGCCGTCTGAATTCCGGACGCCCGGGGCTCCCACGGGCTCCGGGCAGGAGGCCCGAGGCGCCGACAGCCCCTTTCTGACCGGCCTGTCCCCCCCCCCGCCCCCAGGGACTGCATCGCCCTCTGCTTCCTCAACAGCGGCACCAGCTTCGTGGCTGGGTTCGCCATCTTCTCCATCCTGGGCTTCATGTCCCAGGAGCAGGGGGTGCCCATTGCTGAGGTGGCCGAGTCAGGTGAGTGCGGCTGGGCCGGGCCCGGTCTGAGCTTTGGCGCCAGGACCCAGAGCCCCTTCTGTTGTCACCCACACTCTGGGCGAACCGTGGCCACCTGTCAGCGGGTGTGTTCTGGGACGACTTGTGGGGAACTGAACAGTCGTGCCCGCTTCGACGAGGGGACGGTACACGGGGACCGTCCCTCTCCCCGTCCCTGGCTTCCAGCGCGTCACTCTGGGGGTAGCCAGTGGTATCAATTTCTTGTTTATCCTGCTAGAAATAGTTTAGACATACATGAGAAGTTATATAGATACACACATGTCGACACATACATACATACACACTACTATTTCTGTTTCTTGCCTCCTTTTTTAAAAAACCGAATGATAACACACTTCGCATGTCATTCTGCACCTTGCCGTGTTCACCTTAAACTGCATCTCGAGATACGTTTGCAGCAGCACGTGGACTTTCTCCATTTTTGAGTGACTGGCTTTCTACCCTGTAGTGTTGTTGCTGCTTTTAAACAAAACCAGGCCCCAGCCCCGTCTGGATAAGCTGTAAAGCGTTTCCCTTGCTCCTCCCCTGTTCTTGGGGACCATCCCCTTTCGCTCCCTAACAAGCGGCTGTTTATGGCGGCATTCACAAGCCCGTACCTGCCACATGGATGCCCCGCGCCGGGCGGCTGGCATAGCTGACCGCTATTAAAAAGGACAACGTCTCACTTTTTTTTTTTTTTTTTTTTGAGACAGAGTGTCACTCTGTTGCCCGGGCTAGAGTGCCGTGGTGTCAGCCTAGCTCACAGCAACCTCAAACTCCTGGGCTCAAGCGATCCTCCTGCCTCAGCCTCCCAAGTAGCTGGGACTACAGGCATGCGCCACCATGCCCGGCTAATTTTTTCTATATATTTTTAGTTGTCCAGATAATTTCTTTCTATTTTTAGTAGAGACGGGGTCTCGCTCTTGCTCAGGATGGTCTCGAACTCCGGAGCTCAAACAATCCGCCCGCCTCGGCCTCCCAGAGAGCTAGGATTACAGGCGTGAGCCACCGCGCCCGGCCGACGTTTCACTTTTATTAAGCACTTACTGCATGCCAAGCACTGCGTGAAGCGCTCTGCCTGTGCTCTGCAACGTAGCCTGGGAGGAGGGTCCAGGCACCGTCCCGTCTCACCGTGTGCGGAGCGAGACTCAGGCGGCGCACAGGGCCGGGGTCGCTGTCGTGCTCTGCCTTTCAGAGGCCGCTTCCTCTGGATAGACCCGGGCTCGAGCGCACGAGCTCGTTCCCGCCGTTTGAGTCAGCCGAGAGGAGCACTCACCGACCGAGGGGACGTGTGTCAATGACATTCTGACGTTAGTGCCAGCTCACTCGCCGGGGGTGACAGCGGCAGCGAGCGGAGGGCCGGGGCGTTTTCTCTGGAGCCACCTACAGACTTTATGAGCTCGGCAAAGCGCCTCGTGCGCCTGCTCCTACGGCCTCCTGTGGCCGGCGCGGGGTCGGCTGCTGCCTCCCGAGCTCATTCCCAGCTCGAAACCGCCGTTTGGGGCGGTAGCTCTGGAGAGCAGGGCCCTGCTAGATCCGAAGCCCTGCGCCTATGACCTCTAGGTCCTGTCCTTCCAGCGAGAACACAGCAGACAGCGCCCGGGAAGCCTGGGCACTGGGTGGAGGTTTGGTGGCTTCTGGGTGAGGACGGTGGTGGCCACGGTGACTTGGGGGGAACGGTCCCTAGAGCTCCTGCTGGGAAGCCGCGGGATTGCGCCAGGCCTGCGGCTGGCCCGGGCACTGGGCTGTATCCTCTGCCCCCCGCTGCAGGCCCTGGCCTGGCCTTCATTGCCTACCCCCGGGCTGTGGTGATGCTGCCCTTCTCTCCTCTCTGGGCCTGCTGTTTCTTCTTCATGGTCGTTCTCCTGGGGCTGGACAGCCAGGTATCAGGAGGGGCCACTCAGAGCCTGGCGGACGGGCGGGGCGGGGCGGGCTGGGGAGGGGAGCAGCGCCCGGAGGTCGAGCTTTATGCCCCAAGGGGACCTTAAAACAGCTGGGGACTGGGCAAATGTCAGAAGCGGATGCCCTTCTGGGGACCCAGGGGAGCTCGACGGGTGGGTCCAGCCCTAATCATTCGAGGACAGCAGCTCCGGGGACTTGAGACGGGGGGCTGGCCGGGCCGGCCCCGGGAGCAGGAAGCCGGAGCTGGCCGGTCGGGCTTGTTCTGGGAGCTCTTTGCCTCCAGTTCTTCTGCCTCTCACCAGTTCGTGTGCGTGGAGAGCCTGGTGACCGCGCTGGTGGACATGTACCCCTGCGTGCTCCGCAAGAAGAACCGGAGGGAGACGCTCATCCTCGGAGTGTCTGTCGTGTCCTTCCTGGTCGGGCTGCTCATGCTCACGGAGGTGCGGGCTGGGGGCTGGAGGGACCCGGGGAGCAGGAGGAGGGACCAAGTGGCAACACCTGCGGGGCGGGGCAGATGCCGTGGCCCCTCTTCTCCCCTCCACGGAAAGGACAAGGAGCTAGTTCCTCCTCTGGCCTCTGGGCACCCGCACCTGCCTCTGGGGGTGGGTGAGGGTCGTTCGGCGAGGATGGTTGGGAAAAACGGCCCCTCCAGCAAGATCCTGGAACTTCCCGGGCAGCGGAACCAAGTTCTGTATACAAACTTCAAAGGGAGCAGGGAGCCCTGGGGTGGGTGACGCTCCGTGTGCGCTCGAGGGAGGAGGGGGGAGACCAGTGACAACCCCTCCCTCATCCTTCCCGAAAGAGTACGCACGATGTCTTGGGCCTGTGGCTCAATGCTAAATGTTCTCGGGGATAATCTAACGATAGCCGTCTGATTCCATCTGTCTTCCTTCCAAAAACCATAATAAAAATCAGCATCTCAAATATGCCTAGTGCCGTACAGCGTACAAATCACATTCTCTTTGGTTATCTGTCTCCTCCGATCCTCACCGACCCCGCTCTGTGCCCCGGCGCTGTGAGGGTCAAGGGCATAGGGGTGGCTCTGTCTGTTTCCTCTGGATAAAGTTCCTTCTTTTGTACTCTCCCCGGCGCAGGGCGGGATGTACGTGTTCCAGCTCTTTGACTACTACGCGGCCAGCGGCATGTGCCTCCTGTTTGTGGCCATCTTTGAGTCCCTCTGTGTGGCTTGGGTTTACGGTGAGTGACCCCTCCGTGGGCCCAGCCCCGGTACTCTCCCCCACCCCAGGGCCCTTACACAGGAGAGGGACATCCACCGCCCACACCCACGTCTTCCTGGGACTCCTCCTCCACCCAACCTCAAACATCTTGGGAATCCTGAATTGCTACCCTTGGAGGTGCCCTCCAAAAGTCACCTTGCCCACACTCCTGGTTACAGCCGCACCTGGAGCACCTCAGGTGGTCAGGCCCATACCCTGTCCTACCCAAACCTTTTCAGCTTTTAACAGCCCTGATGGCCAGGAAGTTACTGCCTTTACCTAAGGCAAGTTCTGCCCGCTGCTGGCGATTTGAAAAGACAACCGCGATACCGTCTGTCCGCCACTCCTTGCCCGTCCTAGTCTGCGTGCGGCCCCGTCCTGGCGCTGGGGGCGCTGGAGGACAGTCTCTCTCCCTCCCTTCCTCTCCCCCTGGCAGGAGCCCGGCGCTTCTACGACAACATCGAAGATATGATCGGGTACAGGCCGTGGCCTCTCATCAGATACTGCTGGCTCTTCCTCACGCCAGCCGTGTGCACGGTGAGGAGTCCCCGAGGGACAAAGCCGGGCGGAGGGAGGGAGCCATGGTGGCGGCAGCAGGGTAGAGAGGCCGCCAGCCCTCAAGCAGACTTCTCCCTGGGAGTGGAACATCGTCTTAGATTTCCATTCTTCCTCCCGTGGGATCTGGACCGCACAGCAAGACAGAGCCCTCCTTTCGGTTTCACGACAAACCCAGTTCCAGAGCTGTCGGATGGTTCGACTGACACCAGGGTGGGCCTTACGGTCACAGGCAGGACTGACGCTTGCGGGCGTCGGGCGGCTCCTGCGAATGCCGCTACCCCAGCAGGAGGACGGCAGCGGTCACGGGCACCTGCTCCGACTGGGCACAGCGCGCTCACGCGCGTCGACTCCTTCCAGCCTCACAAAGCCCGTGCCTTGCTGTCACCCACGCGTGTCGACTCCTTCCAGCCTCACAAAGCCCGTGCCTTGCTGTCACCCACGCGTGTCGACTCCTTCCAGCCTCACAAAGCCCGTGCCGTCACTGCCACCCTCGTCGTGCAGACGGAACGGAGGCTACGGAGGTTAAGCGGCTCACTCAGCCCAGAAAGTTGCAGAGAACTGGGGCTCGAACCCAGGCAGCCTGGCTCCGGGGTCTGAGCCTTAAACGGCAGCGTGCCGCTTCCTCTGGTGCCTCGCTCTGTGTCAGCGGACCCCAGCCTGCGCTGTGCGCGGCGTGTAAGCGAGGGTCGGGGAGCAGGAGGCACGACCCCCGCCCTCGAGGCCCTGGCAGCCCAAACTCTGGTGCAAACACTTGAAAGCAGCCAGCGGGCACACGATCATGTCCTCCCCGGGAGCCAGCCACGTGCAGAGGGGCCCAGGGGTGACAGGGCGCAGGCCCCGGAAACCTCCGCTGGGCTGCCCCGAGGGCAGAGGGCGGACGGAGGTTGGAGGCCCATCGGCCGCGACCAGCCTGGAGGCGGGTTCGGGCTGGAGCGTGATCTCCGCCGGCCGCTCTGTGGGGCGGAGAGCCCGGGCCCAGCCCCCAGCCCCTCTCTCTTCTGCCCTCGCCCCCAGGCCACCTTCCTCTTCTCCCTGATCAAGTACACGCCGCTGACCTACAACAAGAAGTACACGTACCCCTGGTGGGGCGACGCCCTGGGCTGGCTGCTGGCTCTGTCCTCCATGGTCTGCATTCCCGCCTGGAGCGTCTACAAACTCGGCACCCTCAAGGGCCCCCTCCGAGAGGTAGGGAGTGAGTGGGGGCTGCCGGCCGGGCGGGGGCTGGCGCGCAGAGGGCCCGTGCACGGCGCGGGTCGTGCTGAGATGTCTCAGGAGGAGGCGGGGTGACTCCAGGACCCAGGCAGTGGTGACGGGGCCGGTCTGTGGGGGGCAGGCCGACGTGGTGGTGGGAGGCGGGCAGACCCGCCCCCCTGTAACCGCTAGCCCCCCTGTAACCGCTAACCCCCCTGTAACCGCACGACGGCCACCTCCACTCTCCTTGCAGAGACTGCGCCAGCTCGCGTGCCCAGCCGAGGACCTGCCCCAACGGCAGCACGCGAGACCCTCTGCTCCTTTCACCCCCAGGACCTCACTGCTCAGACTCACGGAACTCGAGTCTCACTGCTAGGGGCAGGCCCCCATGGTGCCCGTGGGCCTGGCTGTGGGGCCGGCTGCAGGGGCCAGGGGCGGAGGCAGCCTTGCCCTTCTCTGCCCCCAGCTGGGGTGGATAAGGCACAGGGGGATATTTTGGAATCTGCCTTCTGAGCTGGGGCCTCCCCCGCAGCTCCCTGCGCCGGGGGCAAAGTGAGATGCAGGTTTCAAGACCACCCTCTGAGACGGCCTTGGGGAGCGGGGTGAGGGCCGGTGGGCGAGAGCACCGCTGGGCGCAGGCCCCTCACCTCGCCTTCCATTAAATCTGCGTCTCCCCCGACCCCAGCGGCTCCATCTGGTTTCTGTCTCTCTGCCTGCGGCCTTGACCCCTCCCCACTTTGAGAGCCCGCCTCCTCCCGGAAGCCCCCGCCGTGGCCCACCAAGCAGAGGTGGTGGCCGTGGTGGGGGTGGCGCAGGCGCCTGGAGCGGAGGAGGCCGTCGGGCCTCTCTCCCGGCTTCCCAGGCCCCTGCCCCGGCTCCGTGTTGTGGAATTAAGAAGGGCACGGAGGAGGCCTGAGCAAAAGGGAAAGAAGAGGAAGGCCTGGTGCCCGCTTCTCCCTGTGGGGTCCTTACCTGCCCCGCTAGCCAGACTGCGCGTGTGCGTGTGTGTGCATGTGTGTGCGCGTGTGCGTGTGTGTGCACGCGTTTGTGCGCGTGTGTGTGCGTGTGCGCACGTGTGTGCATGCGTGTGTGCGTGTGTGCATGTGTGTGCGTGCGCGCATGTGCGTGTGTATGTGCATGTGTGCGTGTGTGCGTGTGCGTGCGTGTGTGCATATGTGCGTGTGTGCGTGTGCGTGCGTGTGTGCATATGTGCGTGTGTGCGTGCGTGTGCGTGTGTGTGTGTCCACCGAGGCTGGGCCCTGAAGCACGGGATGGGGCTGGGCGGCTGTGCAGGCCCACGGCAGCAAGGCACCGCCCGGCTCGGCCGGCAGAGGGACCCCACTTCCTGGGACCGCCTCGCGCTTCTGAGAACAGGAGAGGCCACATGTTGCCACCACCCAAGGTCGCCACACGGGGGCGGCACTGCGCGGCCCGGCTGTGCCGTCAGGGCCTGAGCGGCGGGGTGAGCCCTCCGCATCAGGCTGCGAAGAGGATCCAGGAGAAAGGCAAAGCCGCCCCGCCTGGGCACGGTCGGGCCCAGAGGGCCCCACGGGGCGTCTCAGCAGCCTCACCTCTGACGGGAGGCGGGGGCCGGACCCCGTGTCTGGCTGTCGCTGTGCATGTGTTTGGACGTGGCGGACACACAGCTGAGTTTCCGGCTGCGTGCCTGCCCGGGTGTCTGCCTGTGTCCCCGCCTCGGTCCAGATGGTTCTTCCGGTGCTGGTGCGGGGATCCCTGCGATTCTCAGAGCCGCAGTCTAAGGGCCAGTGGTTCCCCAGCTGATTCTCTTAGCTTTTAGATGTCGGTGGCAAGATGCGCTGAAATCTTGGCTGGTCTTCAAGCTCTGATTCGTCGTCACTTGAAGAGTTTGTGAGAAGTGATGACAGCAGCCCCGCCGGGTGTCGGCCTTGGCGGCTGCTTCCCAGAGAACAGCCGGGCGGGCGTTTCCCGAGGGTGCCGGGCTCCACCACGGTGCTCGTGGGAGCAGAGCGCCCACACGAGACACACGTGGGGCAGCCCGTTTGCCGGACGCTGTTGACAGAACCCCTGCCTCGCCGTGCTCACTGCACGGTGAGCAAAGACAGATGCGGTTTCTCAAACGGCGAATGTGACCAGTGCTAGGAAAGGAGGCAGCAAAGAGCTGCGAGAACGGAAAGCCAGGCGGTGCGGGGAGGCTGCCCAGGACGCCGTGTCCGGCCCTCTGTCCGTCCATCCGCCAAAGCTGCCGGAATCTGCGAGCCCAGGAAGGGACGCAGGCAGTTCAGCATGGCGACCGCAGTCCTGTTCGGGAGAGTCACTGATGGCGGGATGTGGCCTGGCGATCGCCCCTGGGCGCAAGAATCGGGGTCCGGTCCAGACCCCACCCGCCTCTACCTCGCCGCGCGTCTCTGCAGGAGTTGCTCGGAATTCGCGCTCTTTGTTTTTCAGGTGGAGTTGGTACCAGGCGCCTCCCGGGTTTGTCGTGGGCGCCGACGGGGTGATGGGTGTGTTTTTCCAGTCGCTGGTGCCAAAGGGCCTGAGGCCGTTAGACCGGGTGGCGGGTGGGTGACGGGGAGAGGCCCCAGCAGCCCAGGGGTGCTGCCAGGCCGGGATGCCGGAGTGCTGGTGGCCGGGTCGGGGCGCGGGAAAGGAGGTGAGCGTGCGTGGGTGACCTGGACGTGGCTTCAGCCACTGAGGGGGAGGAGACGGTCGTGGAGGAGCAGGGCAGCTGACAGCACCACCTGCTTCCCCGCCGGGAAGGGGAACCCTTACGGATCCTGCAGTTCCCGCGGAGGAAGACGCAAACCGAGGGGAGCCCCTCTCGTCCGGAGGCCACTCCTGTCGGGGAGAAAGGCGGGGACAGCCCGGGCGAGCGCTAGCTGATGGGGAGAGGAGCACGGGTGACCGGAGAGTGAGAGGCGCAGCCCAGGGCTGCAGGGAAGCCACCGAGCAGGCGCTGAGCCCACCGGCTGCCTTGGGGCCTCGTGCACGCGTGTGTACCCGGGTCTCAGATCCACACGTGTGCACACACTCACAGTCCTCACTGTCCTCCGATAAACACGCACAAACGCAGAGACACCGGTCAGCCAAGCGCACGCCTTTATAGGGGCTTGAAGTCCTGGCTTGGATCCCGGCCCTTTGACTTACTAGCTGTGTGACCTGGGGCAAGCTGACCTCTCTGGTCCTTAGTTTTCTTCTCTGTAAAATGGGAGCAATACTATTATATCACAGTGTTGTTGGGTCCAGCAGAGGGCATAGGCACAGCTGCCCTGGGGACAGGTTCAGGCAAATCCACCCTATTTCCCATCGCTCCAGCCCCACTGCGCTGGGCTGTCCGTATGACGAAAAAGCCCGAAAAATGTTCAGAGAGATCCTCGCTGCCCCTGGCTTCCCCAGCACCCGACATCAGGGCCCCAGGCCCCAGGAGGAAGCCACGCATTTATTGAGCTAAGCATGTTTGCTAGGAGCCGAGGGAAAGGGAGCCCTAAGTACTTCCGCATCCCGCGGTCTTGCCCAGCACGGCATATTGTCCGGGAAAGCGGGACCTGAGCCCCCCAAGCCCTCACCCATCCTCTGGGAGAACAGTGCCCTCCCAAAAAAAGGGCAGACTGGCATCATTTTTCTCCCCTGAAGCTGCATCCATCCATCCACCCACCATCCACCAACACTGAGCGTCTGCCCCCAGACGGCACCGTATTAAATGCTGGAGGCAGAAACAAAGAATTAAGAAACAAGCCCCCTGCCCTTTGGATACCTGTGGTCTCGGAAACAGTGCGCTACAGCGGAATGAGTGTAGACTTTTGGAGCCAAGAGGCCCGGATTCGAATCCCAGCTCTGTCATTCACTAGTGCATAGCCTTGGGACAAATCACTTGGCTTCTGTTCGCCTCAGTTTTCTCATCTGTAAAATGGGGCTCATAATTCCTACATTTCAAGGATCTTAAGGGGATGAAATAAGGTAACACGTCAAACTCCTAGTCTGGGTTTGATGCTCAGGAAACAGGTCCCATGTCGGGTCCTCTCATGGCACACAGGGGTTAGGGGATGAGGGTGGGGAGGAGAACATTCTGTGGGGTCCGCTGTCCTTCTTAGTGCGGCAGGGTAACCTGTCTCACGACCGCATTTCTCTGGCCCCTCCCAGTCTCAGCGAGACTTTCCAGGGATCTTGTCTTTTGCCAAGATGGGGGTCTCCGGCCTGTGGGAGTTTACCAGTTGGTCTGAATGCTCAGTGGGTGTCGGGGGTGGGGGTACTGGGGGGGCTCAACGTCAAGGCAGGAAGACTGAGGTCAGAGGCAGTTGGATAAAGACAGGCAGGGGTCGGGCAGGTATTGTTCGGGGAAAATCGGACTCCGTTCCCCGGGCCAGGCCCCACAAGGGGAAGGACGGGTGGCAGGACTGCCAGGCCATGGCCGGTCACCTCAGCACCCCCACGTCCTGGCAGAAAGCAGGCCAGACTGTCGGCCCCGGGTGAGATTTTTGAATGAATGCATGAACGAGGAAATTCACCCTCTCCCAGCCGGATCCTCTCCCTCTTTCTTCCCTTTATGGAGAGGCGAGCGTTCTGTTCTGGAACAGCTGCCGCCGGGTAACCTTGTGGGCTTCTCAGTCCCCTCTGCAATAAGCTCTGTGGCCGATCGCCGTGGGCCTGGCATGCAGGGGCAGGCCACCCTGTCCCAGCTGGGTGCCGGGTCCTGGCCGGGGCACGCGGGCTCTGCCAGAGCCAACCTGCGCCGGGCTTCTGGCTTCACGGCGGCCAGGGTCTGGGAAGCGTGACTGGCCTTGTCTGGGTGGGGAACCCCCAGGAGATGCCGAGAGACAGGGAGGGGGAGGCTGGTGGAAAACTACCCGGGGAGGCTCTCGCTGCACACCCCACCCCTGCCGGGAAGTTCCAAAGCACAAAGAGGAAGCCCATGTGAAGGGAAATTTCCCCTTCTCCCCGCAGCTTCCCCCCCCCACACCCCCTCGGTGGCGAGAGGCCAGGCATTGGCAGCGTTGCCTGGGGCCAGCCCCCCCCAGCCCTGCTGCAGGGGACCCGCCACAAACACCAGGAACACACACAGCCTTGTGGGTCCTTCCGTGCGGCCTTTGGACCGCATCCAAATTTCACGGGACAAACGCTTTCACTGAAAGGGGCGCAGCTGGGAAAGAGGAAGCTTTTCTTGCCGCCTTTGGCGCTTAAAAAAGAACAACCTTGAAATCCGAAGGCCACGGGTTCCCCGGCCCGGCTTGTCTTCAGCCCCCACAGCGACCCTGCCAAGGAGGTGTGATCTGCCTTTGACAGATGGGGAAACCGAGGCTCAGACCCTTACCTGGCTGCCGTGACTGACACACGATAGCGGAGTGTCTGACCCGCCCGTGTCCTTTCTACACTGTGCTTCTCGAGATGTGCTCAGAGAGCTTTTCTAGGAAAATCCCAAGGGAAGCACAGCGGTTGTGAAGGTCTGGAGCCCTGCCTTGAGGCCACAGGGGGCAGGTACTGGTGGAAAACTCCAGCGTGTGATTCACCCCCCTGCCCTGCCCTGGCCAGCGAGGCCAGCTCCCCTCCCAGGAGTTTCCAGCCTGGACTCGGTGGCCCCTATCCGCTGCTCTGGTAAGAGAGGGCTGCGCCCTGCCCCGCGCACCCCACGCCCTTCCCTAAGACGGACATGGTGCTGGGAGGCCATGGGCCCGGACGGGAGCAAGAGGAGGGGGTCGGTGGGGTCCCTGAGCCCCTTCCCCTGCCGGAGGGAGTGGCTGAGCCCCGTGCTGGAGGGTCACCTAGGAGGTGGCCACGGAGGGCACTGTGCAGGGAGGGGGCTGGGCGGGGGCACTGCAGACAGGAGACCTGATGTCCTGGGTCTGGGTGTCCTAATCCCAGCTCACACACTTTTGGCGTCAGGCCCTCCTGCTGCTTGTGGCATTTCTCTGTCCCTTCACTTCCCAGTGCGTTCGTTCGGGCGCACAGAGCCACTTTCTGCCTGGCAGTCCCTGCGCCACCCGGCTGGGTCCCTGCGCAGGGAGAACAGGGCGAGGAGGGAAGGTGGAGGAGTTTCCCTCTCAGGGCCGGTCTCTCTTGTCATTCTCATAAGTGGCTTCCCTGGGACTCTCCCGGAGCTGAGCCGGGTGCAGGGGCCCGAACCGGAGACCGCGGTGAGCAGGAAGGGGCGGCCGGCTGCACCTGCGCAGTCTCTGCCTCCGAGGGGCCGGACTTGCAGAAGCGAGTGTGTCTGTGCCGGGAGGCAGGTGTGCAATGCGCAGGCCGGGAGAGGCTGGTGTTCAGGAATCTTAGACCTGGGTGCCCGCAGAGCCCCCTCTCCTCCTCCTGCCAGGGAGCTGCTCACGGCTGAGCCCGTGTGGCAGGAAAGCGCGCAGAGGGGAGCTGGCCGGGGACAGTGGGCAGAAGGGGTGGTCACCTGACCCGGGGAGGGGAAGAAGCCGGTGCCCAGCGAGCTGGGGAGGGAGAGTGGCTGGGAGCAGCCTCGGGGCGTTCCTGAAGGCCCCCGGCCTGCAACGAACGGTCACAGGGGAGGGGCTCCTGCCCTCCACCTGCCAGCCCAGCACGGCCAGCAGGAAGCCGGTGTCTGCAGGCGCAGGACACTGCCCTGGCTTTGGCGGGGGGCATGGGTGTGCGGGCGCCCAAGGGGGCCGTGCGGGAGCCGAGGGCAGGCACGGATGGCCACCAGGTGAGCCGAGCGGCCCACGGGGCATGAAGGACGGCGACGGGGCCAGGCCTTGGTGCCCTGCACACAGGTATGTGTGTGCAAAGGGACGTGACGGGTAACGGCACCCGTGTGTGTGCGGGGACGGGCTTGGTATGTGGGTGTGCGCTGGAGCACGGCCCGGCCCTTCCTCTGCTGGACTGGGGAGCAAAGGGGACCCTGCTGGAGCTAAGAGGGGAGCAGGTCCTCGCTAGGCCCCGGCCGGGCCCCTGTCTGCGTGCCCAGCTCCCAGAAACAGACTTAACCTCGGGGTTCCCGCACTCTCGAAGGTTTCCTCCACGGGCAGCACCGAGCCCGGTGCGAGGGCCGGTGCCTTTGCTCCTGGAGGGCCCCGAGGCTCGGTGAGTTGCAGCCCTGCTCCGGCTTAGCGGAGCGGGTGGGCAGCCTGGGGCAGAGACGCCAGGGGCTGGACCCTGAGGAAGTCACCTTGGCTGTGGGGACACCGTTGCTCCAGGAGTCCTCGCGGGTGGGCTGGGGGTGGGAGGGCACACGGGGGTGGGCTGTGCTGTCCTTTTGGCTTTGAAAAGTTACCCAAAAAGGAGAGGTGGGTACAGCATGTTTAGATGTCTAATGTCCTCCTGGACATGTCTTCCCTCAGTCTGACTTAAATCCCTCCTGCTGCAGTTTAGGCCTGTGTCCAACTTGCCCTGGCTCTGGGCCAGCCGCCCTTCTCGCCAGCTCCGCGTTCTCACCGGTGAGTCGAACGCCTCCCAATCAGCTTTGCGGGTTTCTTAAAAACGTGTCAGCTTCAGTCCTTCTGTTCACGCTCTCTTTTCTCTCGTCCCCGCCCCTGATACGACCCCAATCCGGGCCCACCGGGGTTCTCCCCGGCTTTCCCTCCGTTCCCTCCTCCGTTCCCTCCCTTGCCCGCTGCGTCCCCTCCTCCAACTCGGGAGCCCCCCTGGTCACCAAGCGGCTGCTCTGGCCTCGGCTCCCCTGTGGCTCCGAGGCGGTGGTTCCTCCTTCTCTTCCGGGGGCCTCAGCCTCATGCCCGCCCCAAACACCCGCAGGGCAGAGCTCGCTCCCTCTCCCAGGGAGACCGGAGGCGGAGAGGAGGCGAGATTTGCCCTGCGAGCAGCCCAGCGCTGGGCGCCGGGTGCGGTTCCGTCATCTTGCAGAGCGTCACCTGCAGGTCCGTAAAAGGAGCTGACGGTGACACCCGCTCCAAAGACCGGCCACGAGGCTGGGACTCAATAGCGCAGAAGGATCTGCGTGTCTCCGCTCACTCGCGTGCTGCCCTGTGGCTGCCGTCAGCGGCAGCCAGCCCTAGGCTGGGGCTTGGGTTTCCCGCCTGGTACTTTTTCATCCGTGTTGCTGTCCTCACTCGTACGTCTGTGCGTTTGCTTGATAACGACTCAGGGGCCGTTTCTCGGGGTTCCCGCGCCACCAGCCTCTCTCCTGGGCCCTCCCCCGATCTTTCCGCCCGAGCGCTGGCTCTCCAAGCCCCCGTGGGTCTGGCCGACACTCTGAGCCTGGAAGCTCTTTCCCGCCTTCCCCTTCCTGCTCCCGACGGCAGAGACTCAAGGCCTTTGATTTCCACCCGGGACTCTCGCCTCATCCTCCCTCCCCGGGGCTGAGCTTGCGACGGAAGCCCCTGGGCAGGTCCCAATACCGCGGTTTCTCCCTGACGTGCTTTCCCATTCCTGGGACAGCCTGCACCCTCCAGGTCACCTTCAAAAATTTCCATGACCTCGAATAGCTCCTGCCCACGCCTTTCTGACGGACTTGGGCTGGGCCGTTGCCTGGGCCGAGAGGACCAACGTGTAAACACAGATCCTTCCTTAATGAAAAGAATCCCTTGTGCTTCCCCAGAGCCTCCGAGGACCTTGGAGCACTTGGTAGACCTGGTCCCTCGGTGGCCCCAGTGCCCCTCAGCGGTGAGGGGCAGCAGGATGGGCTCTTGCCCCCGGGGCACCTCCTCCGGCAATTCCCCGGAAGTAAAGGCAGAGGCGGCCTCAGGGCGACTGGGTGGGTGCCAGGTACGACCTGCCACCGACAGGGTTCATCTCCCGGCAGGCGACACACAGGCGAGAGGGACGGGGGCAAAACTGAGAGTGGCCACATCGTTTTTCCGGAAGTCCAGGAGGGCAGGGGGAGGGGAGGGCAGTGACCCGCCAGCCACTGCCGGGCTTCCTTCTTGAGGGGCCCAGTGATCTGGTCGCCTTGGGGGTCCCTGGAGATGACCACCACCCAGCTGAGGATTGCTCTGGGGACACCCGGCACCAGGACCCCCCACCTTTTCTCAGGACAGAGACGCCACCGAGAGGGAGCGAACCGGGGTTTCCTCGAAGGCCTCCACTCGCCCCGGTGCCACCTGGCCTTGTTCGGAGGCCTCGCCTTCCCCTCTCTACCCAATCGGAGGCCCCCGGCTCGCTGGCCGTCCTGTTTACCCGAGCTGATCGAAGACCGTGGCCGGGGATGAGCACACAGCTGGCCAGGACAGGCACCTGCCCTTTGGCCCCGGCCACCCTGGCAGCCTTTGATGCCTTCCGTCCTGGACAGAGGCCGGGCTGGCGTCACTCTGGGCACTGAGGACCTGAGCGGACGGGCCGGCTGGGACGGAGGCTGGCCGCAAAGATAGGAAGGGGCTCTTGGATGGCCCTGGGCAAGTCGCTCTGTCTGGGAAGACGTGGTTTGCTCATCCGCGAAGGCAGCAAGCCCAGATGTGCTCTCGGAGTCACGAGAACAAACAGCCACTCTGGGTGTAAATGCCGCGGCCGGGGGGCGGGTGGCGAGTGTGGGAGGAAGAGCAACGTGCGGACGAAGGCCGAGGGTGGAGCGGGCTGAGCAGGTGGCGGCGGGAGCCAGGGCCTCATGGCTCCTCCTTCTCCTCCCCCAGGCGGCGCCTCCCTCTCCTCCCTGCGCACCCCGCCGCTCCGCTATGGATGGACAAGCGGCGGCCCACGAGCTCCGGCCTTCCGTGGTCTCCTGGGTCCCGGAGGAGGCAGACAAGTCGGACCAGGACGGCAAGGCCCCGGTGAAGGAGCGGGGCCAATGGACCAACAAGATGGAGTTCGTGCTGTCCGTGGCCGGGGAGATCATCGGGCTGGGCAACGTCTGGAGGTTTCCCTACCTCTGCTACAAAAACGGAGGAGGTGAGTTCCCTTCGCGGTAGGCGGGGAGGGGCGCCGTGCCCGGGCGGCTCACAGCTGAGCCGCGGCCACCTGGGCCCGCTTGCCTGGCCAGCGTGGAAAAACGAAAGAAGGGTGGCAACGAACCGGAAGGCCTGGGCCTGCCGTCCAACCCCCGTCCCCCCCCCGGTTCCCCCCCGGGAAAGGGGAAGAAAACCAAAAGGCCAAGGCCAAAAACAAAAGGGGAAAAGGGCAAGAACAAAGAAACCCAAGTCCCCAAAAACCCCCTCCGTAACCCCCGCAAAACATAAGTGGTGAAAAAAATCAATCAATCAATCAATCAATCAAGCAATCAAACAAACCAAATGCCACAACCACAAAAAACAAAACCCCCGCCGGCCGCCCTCCGCCGGGCCGGGGGGCGGGGCAAAAAGCAAAAAACAACCGAAAACGGGGGGGCCAACCCAAGAAGGCAACCAGGGGAAACCGGAACGGGACACGGGCCCGCGGTGGGGAGGCGCTGAGCACAGACTCGAAGGAGGTGAGGGAGCACGTCCTGTGGACGGATATGGGGCGAAGAGCGTTCGCAACGGGAACAGCAAGTGCAAAGGTCCTGGGGTGGAAAGCAGCTGGCCCGTCCGAGGCACGCGAGGCGGAGGCGTGGCCGGGTGGGATGAGACAGGAGAGGATAACGGGGCGAGGTCAGAGGGGTGACGGGGTCGGCTCCCGTAGGCTCTGTTCAGAGTGAGATGGGAGCTATCAAGGAATTTTGATCAGAGAGATGATATCTCGTCTATGACTTTTTTTCAGATTAAAGAAATATAATTTTATTATTTTTCAGCACTGTTAGTAGAAATAGGTCAGATTACGGTGGAGAGGGGCTAGATTCATTTTTTTAAGTGTGCACTTCAGTGGTTTTTAGTAAATTTCCAGAGTTGTGCAAACATCACCACGATAAATTTGGGAACCTTTTCACCATCCCCCGGAGGAACCCTGCACCCACTCGCCACGCCTCTGCCTGCCTCTCTGTGATCTGCCTTTTTGGGATGTTTCGTATAAATAGACTCGTCCTTGTGATGGTCACATTCACTGTTGCCTCTGGAAACTACCCTTATTCTTCTTGTGGATACGGTATGTGTTCACCGTAAACATCAGAAACATTCCAGGAAGGCAAAAAGAATCACATTTAGAGATAACCGATGTTTAGAAAATTCTTCCAAACACTATTTACGCGTAGTTTGACAAATATTTACCGAGCATCTACTACGTATCTTGTGATAAAACTTATCACAAACTGCTTGAACGAATGACTCCAAAGAATAGCAACAGGATTTCTTAGGTGGATCTGGCTGTGGTGCCCAGGCTGGGAAGGGAGACCCACGCCGGGCCAGAGGTCGGGGGAGGCGGGAGGAGGTGGCAGGCGGTGATTTATTTCCTCGTGACAGGCCACCGCTCCACGGCCAGAGAGGATGTTAGAGCTGGGGTGGGAGGTGATGCAGGCTGAGCCCCCATTCCGCAGAGGGGGGCTTGCCCACGACCAGGGAGCAGGGGCCCAGGAGGACCCCGGAACCAGGGTGCCGGCTCCCCCAAGCCCCTGACCCCACACACCTCGCTCACCTGCCCCGATAGGGGGCTGCTGGGTCTTCCGTCCTGCTGACGGCTTGTGCCGCCGCGGTGGCCTCTGTCCTGGCCGTGGGGCAGGTGGAGGAAGAGGAGCCCGTGAGGTCGTGGGATGGCGTGGGCTGAGCCGGGTCATCTGTGAGGTGGCATGACATCTCTGTCCCCAGCCTACCTCCTGGGAAGGACCCGGGACAGGCTGCCGTCCCCAGATCTTCCTTCCTTTACCTTTAACTTACGGGAACCAAAAGAGGTCAGGGGCCCGGCCTGGGGTCGCTGGTCTTTGGGGTCTAGGAGGGTAGCAAAGAGGGGTCAGGAATTACTGACCTTATTTCTAACAGCTCACTAGTGAATTTACGTGGTAACTCGACGTCACAGACTAACCCGTACGTCATTTTCTTGCTTCAGGCTGGAATCGTACTGACCTTAAGCCCTGATTGGCGGTTACACATGATTTTTATTAATATATGCAGGGAAATTAATTGATTATTAATTAGTAAACACGGTTCTGTAGACAAAAATATTTCAAAAGAAACAAACAAATAGTAATGTTTATTGGTCTAATCAGGGAGCCCCTAAACTAGATCATCCGTAAGAAGTGGTTCACCCCAAAAGAGAGCTTTATGAAGTTCTGGTTGTCCAGAGGTTCAGGAAAGAGCGTGTGGCAGAGACAATAGGCTGAACTCAGAGCTTGGGGGGCAGATTTTAACCGGAGGCGCCCTGTCTGCAAAGACCCCCGGAGAGCTCCGCAGGCTGCCGTGTTCACGGCCTGGGCAGACGCCGGGGTTGTGGGCAGGGTGACCTCCCAAAGCACAGGCTCTGGCTCGTCAGCCTGAGGGAGGGTGTTTGCAGTGTCGGTGTGTCGAAAGCCCGGGGTGGAGGGCGCCCCTGTACCTGGTCCGCAGCCAGCCCTTTCCTGCCCCCAAGCCCGGCCTCCCGAGATCACCCGTCTTCTGTGGGCAGAAGTCCACACTGCAAGCAGAGACCTGAAGCCACCTCCTGTGTCAGAGGGAAGGGCCTCCACACACACAAAGCAAACAAACGTGCGTGCCTTTAACTGAGCAATTCCTCTGCCGAAAACTCGTACCAAGGAGCGAAGGAGACAAACGCACAAGGATGCGGGTGATGTTCTTCGCCAAGGCAGAAATTCTGACGGAACAACAGAAAAGTAGGAGGGTGAGGGGTGAGGAAACACACTAGGACAGACACACACAGAGGGACACCACGCAGTGATTAAAATGAGGATATATTAATAGATACACACTGATAGGAAGAGGTTCGTGATACAAATTTTTTTTTTTTTTTGAGACAGAGTCTCACTGTGTTGCCCGGGCTAGAGTGAGTGCGTGGTGTCAGCCTAGCTCACAGCAACCTCAAACTCCTGGGCTCAAGCGATCCTCCTGCCTCAGCCTCCCGAGTAGGTGGGACTACAGGCATGCACCACTATGCCCGGCTAATTTTTTCTATATATTTTTAGTTGTCCAATTAATTTCTTTCTATTTTTAGTAGAGACGGGGTCTCGCTCTTGCTCAGGCTGGTTTCGAACTCCTGAGCTCAAACAATCCGCCCGCCTCGGCCTCCCAGAGAGCTAGGATTACAGGCGTGAGCCACCGCGCCCGGCCCGTGACACAAATTTTTTAAAAGTGGTTATAAAATATTATATAGCAAATTCTCATTTTTGCAAAGAAGACATACATGCGTGTGTACCTATAAGAATTCCGGAAGGATATACATTCCTTTCTTTCCCTTCGTACTTTCTATTTTTTTCTAGGAAATAATATGGATTACCTCAGTGGCATTACAATGTAGTGGTTAAGAGACTTGGGACCAGACCACCCTGGGTCCGTGCCTCAGTTACCTCATTTATGCTTCAGTTTGTGCATCTTCAAACTGCCCTCAGTTTTCTCATCTGTAAAATGGGCATAGCAATAGTACCCACCCCATGGGAGGCAATGTTTTGCGAGGATCTTGATGTCGGTGAGGCATTTAGAAGAGCGCCTGGCACAGGAAACGCCACACAAGTGCTCTGCATTATAACTGTGCGACAAACAACGATCCAGTCCCTCAGAGACGAGCTTCTGAGGCATCCCGGCCTCGGGGCTGTCTTCGGATTCTGTTCTTGTGGAATTCGCTGGATGTCTTTTAGAACTGGCTTCCCTTGGGGGCCTGTGGGTCAGCATCTAATCACATCCCTTCTCTGCTGGGATCCCAGCACAGACCAGAGCCTGGTGGAGGGAAAAAAACCCCCCGAAAATTATTAATGGGAAAATAATGTTTCCAAGGTGTTTTTGTTTTTCTCTAAAACGTATCAAACGTGATAATTTAATGAGCATATCAAATTATATAGAACACGTTTTTGTTCCAAAAATAACATATTGACTAGATTTGTCAAGTACACTAAGAAGGTGAATGGTGCGTATTTTACAATTTCCACCTAAATTTTCATTCACTTCCCTTTAAAGCGCTTTTCCCATCCCGAGTAGGATTCAGAACAAGAGTCTCCACCTGTGTCTGCCCGACACCCCCGGCAGCACGGACAGGAGGAAGGAGACCTGGGCCCTTGGGAGGTGGGAGGAGGGGGGTTAAGAATGGGGGTGCGGGAGGGTAAGTCTGGGGGCAGGGCCGAGAGCGGCCAGGCCGAGGGAGAGCTAGGGGTGTGGCTCAGCCCCCGCCTCTCTCCTCCGCAGGAGCATTCTTCATCCCCTACTTAATCTTCTTCTTCACCTGCGGCATCCCGGTGTTCTTCCTGGAGGTGGCGCTGGGCCAATACACCAGCCAAGGGAGCGTCACAGCCTGGAGGAAGATCTGCCCCCTCTTCCAGGGTGAGTGTCCTGGCCTCCCACCCGCGGGCCATCGTGGGCCTGCATCCCTGCAACGACCCCCCCCCTGCCTCCTTCCTTCCCCCGTCCAGGCCTGTACTGAGCGCCTGCTCAGGCTTCCTGGGGCCCAAAGCTTGTAACACCTGGGAGGGGGCCGGACGCGGCGCAGAGGCTTGGGAGGGGTCCCTGATCCCCACCAGGGTCGCGGAAAGTGTGTTTCTGCCCTTGTGGCGTGGTCCCCGACGGGCCTCCACAGTGCATGACCATAGGTGACAGCTGACATCTGTGGAGCCCGCGGCATGTCAGGGCGCACATCTGGGCCACCTTCTCATCCGATCCTCTACCAGCTTTACCGGCCTTATTTCGAGATGGAGACAGGAAGACTGTGACCCCAGGTCTCCCCGAGTGGAGGGCCAAGCTCTTTCCCTCCCGACGACGCTGCGGGCAGCCGCTGCACCACCACGGGCAGCCTGGGGTGTCCCCTCCCGCCTCGGCCACGGGCTGCTCCAGCCAGTCTCCTGGGGGCCGTGGGCAACCCCAGGGGGCTCCTCGTCCCTGCGAGGTTCCCTGCCCGGCAGAGCGCACGTGGGGCCGGGGGGCGTCTGCGCCCCAGCGCCCCGCCCCGCCCGGGCACGTCCTTGGCCAGGTTTTTCACAGTCGGCATTGATCTTTCAACCAGCCTGTTCCAGAAAGGTCCATAGTCCTTCATCGACTGCCGAGAGGAGGACCTCGCGGTCTCTGGCCTCCGGGAACCAACTCGGAGCGAGTGGGGCCGGCCGTGCGGAGGCCCCGCCCCTGCCCGCGCCCGCGGTCCCCTGGGACCGCCCCCTCTTCCTCTCTGGGTTCTCACTAATATTCCTGCCGTGATCCTGAGGCTGATTCTTATCAAATTTTCCTCCTCGCGCCTTTATTCTTCCTGCCCCTTTTCGCTGTACAAGTAATATATGATTACGTAATAATAGAATAACTAGAAAATGCAGAGGGGAAAAAAGGAAAAAACGTGAAACAGTGAATTGAAATCCTATCCCTTAGGGAACTAAGTGGGTTGAGATCCTTACGGAATTTTTCTCGTGGGAAAAATTCGAATATATATTACAAAAATGCGAGAACGCATACCGCAGCGTTCTAGACCTGCTTTCCTGACTTGGGGAAATACGCCACGAATGCTTCCCGCGCCAGCAAATCACACCCCAGTGGCTCTGTCTGTGCAGCACCCAGCACCCTGTAGCCACCGCTGGCAGCTTCTGTGTGGCTTTTCTTGCTAACGTTGGTCTCGGGGTCCTCTCCCCGCTCCCCACCGCCCCCGCCCTGCAGGCATCGGCCTGGCCTCGGTGGTCATCGAGTCCTATTTGAACATCTACTACATCATCATCCTCGCCTGGGCCCTCTTCTACCTGTTCAGCTCCTTCACCTCTGAGCTGCCCTGGACGACCTGCACCAACTCCTGGAACACAGGTATCCGTCCTCTCAGCCCCGGGGATGGGGCCTCCCCTAGCAGCTGGGCCTTGGTGGCTGCCATGGCCGAATGACATTGGAGTGTGTGGCGGAGCTTGTCTGAAAGCCAAGGTGGTGGGCTCTGGTCCCGTCCTGCCGGCTGACTTCTGCGGGCCTCAGACCAGCCACTGGGAGGACCCAGTGTGGCTGCGAGAGCCCCAGGGACCGTGGGGTTATCACCACTCGCTCACGCATTCATTGAACAAGCACGTACTGGGCACCGACTGCATGCTAAACACTGTGCCCAGTGCTGAGCTTGACCCAGGGCCGTGCGAGAACAACACAGTCCCAGGCTTCCCGAGTTCACAGTCTAGCGATAGGAACAGACAAGCTAACAAAGCGGTTACGGGTCGCGATGGGTGGAAGAAACACCCCAGTATTCGACAGTGGGGGGGAGAAGCGCCGTCTGAGGCCCGAGGGGTGAGAAGGAACCCAGCAGGTGCATGGCATTCCGAGCAGGGGCAGAGCAGGCCCGCGGACTCGGGGCTCCCATCTGTGGGTGGAGAGACAGGGCCGTCAGGGTGGGCAGGTCAGGAGAGCACTGACTGTGTGAGCCACCCGCGTGGGCCCGAGCAGACCTGGAGTCCTCGCTGCGTGGGGGGCCGGCAGGGCGGCCAGTGGGAGCCGTGAGTGGGAGCAGCCGACTCTCGATGCTCCGGAAAAGGGCTCCAGGGAAGCTCCCGGGACCAGGCATGGTGGGAGCCGCTAGGTCGCAAGGCCAGAGGGTCGGGACACCCGGGGTACGAGGGCGTCTGTCACCGTCTTGTCCCTAGTGACACGCGCGCCCTCTCGTCCCCCACAGAGCGTTGCATGGACTTTCTGAACCGCTCCGCGGCCAGCTTGGTGACCCCGTCCGAGAACTCCACCTCCCCTGTCGTGGAATTCTGGGAGTAGGTACTGGGCCTGGTCGCCGCGCGCCAGGGGCCCCGAGCAGAGGACACTCGGATGTCTGAGCTGTGCAAGTTTGAGTGTCTGGGGTGCAGCTTTGGATGCCTTGGGTGCAAGTTTACGGCTCTCTGTGCGTGCTTCCCAGCGCTTTCCCGCCTCCTACCCCCCCCACCGCACGCTTCGCTGAGGAAGGCGGGAACGCTCTCGCTTCCACGCTCTCGTGCAGCTAGACTCACGCCTGTCCGCCCTGGTCACCTGCACCCTCGGCAGTCGGCCTACGCCCTCTCTTCTGCCCTCCCCCACCCGCCCCACTCACGCAGCCGCCCACACGTGTGCAGCGGGGACGGGGGAAGGTCGGCAGCCGTGGGAGAGGCGACCGTGCACGTCTCTTCCCACCTCTGCGTTCAGCCATGTCAGGTTGGGAGGTGGAAGTCGGCCGAAGTGGGAGCGTCTGCGCCGCAGTAACGGGCCGACCCTCCACGCGCACTCAGCCTCCCGTGTGACACTGCACCTTCACGGCCAGCCGTGCCGGCACGTGTCTGCCTGTGCTCGCACACTGACCGAACCCCACGTGCCTTCACCAGCCCCCTCACGCGTGTCTGTGACCTCACGGGTACCGAAAGCGCACACTCATTTCCGTCACCCCGATACAGCTCGGGACGCTAACACACACCCAGCCCCTCCGCGTGACACCACGTTCCTGCCCATCAACCCGCGTACATCAGGCCCTGCTCTCCACACACACACACACACACGCACACACACGCACACGCACACGCACACACACGCACATACACATGCACGCACACACGCACATGCACATGCACACACGCACACACGCACACGCACACGCACACACACAGGCACACGCGCACACACACACGTGCACACGCACATGCACACACACAGGCACACGCGCACGCACACACGTGCGCACACACACGCACACGCACACACACAGGCACACACACGCACACACACGCACGCACACACACACGCACACACACGCGCACACACACACGCACGCACACGCACGCACACGCACGCACACGCACACACACAGGCACACGCGCACGCACACACGCGCGCACACACACCCACATGTACACACACAGGCACACACACACACGCACACACACACGCACACATGCAAGCGTTCCTCATCGCAGCCCCCTCTTGCCATCTCTGTGCACAGAAAACTCTGAATGAGTTAGACAGACAAAGACACCTGGGATAAGGGATTATGGTCATTTGGTCTCCTAACGGCCAGGGTGCACGGACCGCAGGTGGGAGCACGGCGTGGCCGTGAGGGAAGTGGGGTTGGGGGAGCCCCCGGGATACCGGATCTGTGGGTTAGTGCTGAGAATCGGAGACCTGGTGTCGGAGGCGAATGGTCCCTTCGGCCCGTCACCTGGCCCCTTATTTTCCGCCAGGCGGCGGGTCCTAGGCATCAGCTCCGGCATCCAGCACCTGGGGGCCCTGCGCTGGGAGCTGGCCCTCTGCCTCCTGCTCGCCTGGGTCGTCTGCTACTTCTGCATCTGGAAGGGGATCAAGTCCACGGGCAAGGTGAGGCGTCCTGTTCCTGCTCAGCTCTCCGTGGCCCCCCGAGTCCACACGACCTGGAGGGGGACCCCCTGGAGCACGGATTTCTTTGTGCTACGATCCTGCTCTTTCTTAGTGATGTGTGGCGAGAACAGGGCAGTCGGAGGAAGGCAGAGTTAGCTCAGTGCAAGGGAAGTCTTTCTTTTTCAATACGACTTTGAAAGACCTTTTTGCATAAGTAATATTCAGAGCAAAATAAGAAACACGAAAGTCCCACTGTCTGAGCCATCGGCGTGCCGGCCAGCTGGGGCTGCGGACCCCTGTTAGCCTTTGCTGCCGTGCCTTCTGGTTCCTGTCGTGCGTGCGTGTGTGTGTGTGTGTGTGTGTGTGTGTGTGTGTCCATTTTGCGTGTGTATCACATGAGTGGGACCACGCACTCTTGCGGCTTGCTGCTTGTGTTTAACGACATATCAAGACGATGTTTAGTACGAACTAGCAAACAGAACTGTCTCCGACGGGCTGAGTTTCCAGTCCCTGAAGGGGTGCAAGCCCAGACAGGACAGCAGTGGGCGTGTGGCGTGGAGAGAAGGCAGGTTTGGACGTTATTTCCAATCCGGGGACCTGAGGCGGACGCTTCACGCTCTGTAGAAGCCAGGGATGGACGGGGTATTGATTCTCCGGTCGGCCGGACACGTAGTTGCCGCAGCAACCTCCCGCTTCCCTGCCTGTCGAGTAGGAGCAGGGCAGCAGTGACAGAAATGGCCAGGGGTCATCGTAGCAGACGGCGCGGCCAGCGCAGGCCCTGCGCACTCTGGAAACCGTGGCTCCCCCGGCCACGAGGCTGGACAAGTGCCGTCTGAGTTTCCCCGCAGACCACTGCACACGTCGGTCAGCCTCTCCCTGGCGAGCCGGAGTCCCACTGGCGGCAGGGGTGGGAAGAACAGCCGGGATAAGGAACTAAGGGAGACCGGATTCTGGATTTAGAAATAGTCTTTGCCCTGCTTGGATCACTACTCGTTCTGTGCGCGCGTTGAAACCCACCCTGCATCCCATAAACCTGCGGTTATTACATGCCGGCTAAAAACCAAAGGAAAAACCAGACTCGGAAAGGTTATGGGCTGGAAAGCGGCACCCTCCCTGCCCTTCCTCCTCCCTCCCCTGCCCTGCTGATGCTGTGCATCTCGCAGGGGCGCGCAGACCTGCTGGAACCCGCGCAGGAAGGCGTGGGGAGTCTGCTGGCTCAGCCCTGCACGGCTGTCTGGGACGTGTGTCGGCCCCGAGTGTGGCTGGTGCTGGGGGTGGGGGCAGGGGGACCCCAGGAGGCCCCCCGCTCCTCCTGCGGCTGTCCCCGCCCGGAGTGACGCTGCCTCCCCCCGCCAGGTGGTTTATTTCACGGCCACCTTTCCCTACGTGATGCTGGTCGTCCTGCTGGTCCGCGGCGTCACCCTTCCCGGAGCCTACGAGGGCATCGTCTATTACTTGAAGCCGGATTTGTTTCGCCTCAAGGACCCCCAGGTAGGTGCCGTGTTGGGGATCTTTCTCCAGACGCCTCCCACCCCGAGCCAGGCCTGCACTTTTGAGAGTCTTTTCTGCTTTTCCCTTGTCTAAAAGCAGTGGATGCCCCTGAAGAAAAATTGGATAACATGGGAGAAAACCATGAAAAATGAATCAAAAATCTTTTGTAATCCCACAACTCAGATATAATCTGTTAGCGTTTTAGTATATTTCTTTCCAGCTTTTTTTTCCTAGCTGGTGTATGTGCGTGTTTTACCATAGTTGAGATAATTGTATTTAGAGACACTTATCTGTTTTCAACTTACACTGTAAACGTTTTCCGTGCTGTTCGTTTGTGAATGTCATTTTAACCCCGGGTAACATTTCCTCTATCCGTCCGTCCGTCCGTCCGTCCGTTCGTCATTCATTCAACCAATAAAAATGTGCTGAGGGCCCAGTGTCAGGCACTGTCCTAGTGCCGGATGAAACAGGGTCGTGTGCGCCCTCTTAGAGCTCACGCCCTGCTCTTGGACATCTAGGTGACGTATACTGGCTTTAGAGAAATGCATACTTCCCCCGCAATGTTTGAGGATGCCCTTCTTTCTGCAGGGCCTGTGTGAGATTTGATTATAATTTATTTTAATCTTGATAATTCGGTAGACCCAAATGTCATTTTGTTGTTTTAATTTTTTGTTTGTTTTTGAGACAGAGTCTCACTGTGTTGCCCAGGCTAGAGTGCCGTGGCGTCAGCCCAGCTCACAGCAACCTCAAACTCCTGGGCTCAAGTGATCCTCCTGCCTCAGCCTCCCGAGTAGCTGGGACTACAGGCATGCGCCACCATGCCCGGCTAATTTTTTCTATATATTTTTTTAGTTGTCCGATTAATTTCTTTCTATTTTTAGTAGAGACGGGGTCTCGCTCTTGCTCAGGCTGGTCTCGAACTCCTGAGCTCAAACAATCCGCCCGCCTCGGCCTCCCAGAGAGCGCCCGGCCAAATTTTTTTGTTGTTTTTGACTATGAGTGAGATTAGACATTTCCCTTATTGGCCATTTGTATTTCCAACCTCTAGGACTCATCCGAGCACAGTTTTTGCTCCCCCACCAAAAACAAAGTCTTGGTGGTTTTTGTCTTCATGTTTTAATAAAGTGGCTTCTTTGTCCCTAGGTCAAAGCTGCCTAAGGCACCAGCTACCTACTTAGATAGACAGGTAGCGATAGACACAGACTCTGAGCTGTGCCCTGCACATAGGCCTCGGCCACCGCTGGGTACAGCCAGTTTACAGACTGTCCCTGGGAATCCCAGTAACACACGTGTGTTTGGTGCTTCCCAAGTGCCTGCACAACCAGACAGGGAATGGCCCTGCCTGTGAGAAGGTCACTGTGGAGAGAACGGGGGCCGCGTGAATGGAGAGCTGGGATGCAGGAACAAAGCGCTCAGGGCGCACTGAGGCCGCCAGGCCGGTGCTGTAGGTGACGGGTCTGGGTCTCTGGTCACCCTGGCTCCAGGCCCTGGGGGCTCCCTCCGACCCTTCCTTGACCACGTTCTCGGGGGGCTCACGCAGGTGTGGATGGACGCGGGCACCCAGATCTTCTTCTCGTTCGCCATCTGCCAGGGCTGCCTCACGGCCCTGGGCAGCTACAACAAGTACCACAACAACTGCTACAGGTGAGGGGGGCCTGCCCTGCCCATCGTCGGGCTCACGGTTGGGTGTCAGACTGACGTGGGGTTCGCTCACCAGACTGAATGTCTTCCCCCCTTGCTCTCGCTCTTCTCTCCCCACCTCCGACGCCTGCCGTGTCTCTTCCTCCCCTCCTTGCTTGCGCTGCTCCCTCCTCTCTCTTCTCCCCTCCTCTTTCCCTCTTGCTGCCTTCTCTTCTCTCCTCCCCGTCCTCGTCTCTTTCTCTCTTCCTGGTTTTGTCACCTCCGCCCCGCCGCAGGGACTGCATCGCCCTCTGCTTCCTGAACTGCGCCACCAGCTTCGTGGCTGGCTTTGTCGTCTTCTCCATCCTGGGCTTCATGTCCCGAGAGCAGGGGTTGCCCATTGCTGACGTGGCCGAGTCAGGTAGGTGCCACCTTGCTGTCTGGGACCCAAGGGGAAGGAGAATCAGCATGCAGTTCTTCCTAGAGAAGGGCAGGAGTCCCAGAAGCTGAGTCATATGATTTATTTATGGGTGATATGATTTAATTTTAGCATCTGGGGCAGTGCTTGACACAAAGCAGGGCTCCCATAACCATGGAGGGAGGAGGGAGAGGGAATGGGTGGGTGGCCGGATTGACAGCTGCATGCGTGCATGGACGGATGGACGGATGGACAGGAGGGTGGATGGATGGACAGATGGACGGATGGAGGCATGCATGGATGGATGGATGGATGGATGGATGGATGGACAGATGGATGGAGGCTTGGATGGATGGATGGATGGATGGACAGATGGATGGAGGCATGCATGGATGGATGGATGGATGGAGGCTTGGATGGATGGATGGACAGATGGATGGATGGAGGCATGCATGGGTGGATGGATGGATGGACAGATGGATGGAGGCATGGAATGGATGGATAGATGGACAGATGGATGGAGGCTTGGATGGATGGATGGATGGATAGATGGACAGATGGAGGGAGGCATGCATGGATGGATGGATGGATGGACAGATGGATGGAGGCTTGGATGGATGGATGGATGGATGGACAGATGGATGGATGGAGGCATAGATGGATGGATGGATGGATGGATGGATGGACAGATGGATGGAGGCTTGGATGGATGGACAGATGGATGGATGGAGGCATGCATGGATGGATGGATGGATGGACAGATGGATGGAGGCATGCATGGATGGATGGGTGGATGGATGGACAGGTGGATGGATGGAGGCATGGATGGATGGATGGATGGATGGATGGGTGGATGGACAGATGGATGGAGGCTTGGATGGATGGATGGATGGATGGACAGATGGATGGATGGAGGCATGGATGGATGGATGGATGGACAGATGGATGGAGGCATGCATGGATGGATGGACGGATAGATGGACAGAAGGATGGATGGAGGCATGCATGGATGGATGGACGGATAGATGGACAGATGGATGGATGGAGGCATGGATGGATGGGTGGACAGATGGATGGATGGAGGCATGGATGGATGGGTGGACAGATGGATGGATGGAGGCATGGATGCATGGATGGATGGAAGCTTGCATGCATGGATGGATGGATGGATGGACAGATGGATGGAGGCATGGATGGATGGGTGGATGGACAGATGGATGGATGGAGGCATGGATGGGTGGATGGATGGATGGATGGAGGCATGCGTGGGTGGATGGATGGACAGATGGACGGATGGAGGCATGCATGGATGGTTGGATGGATGGACAGATGGATGGGGGCATGCATGGATGGATGAATGGATGCTGTGCTCTGCAGAACCTGGGATGGGCAGAATAATGGATGGAATCACCCTGCCCTCTCGAAGTATGTGGCTGTACACACATACACACACACACACACACACACACACACACACACACACACACACACACGTGCTTGGAGACGTGGAAAGAGGCCTTTTCTGAGGGCAGCGAAAGCTCTGGAGCACACCTGGTTGTGCTGTGTGCCTGGCAGGTCCTGGTCTGGCCTTCATCGCATTCCCCAAGGCTGTGACCATGATGCCTCTGTCCCCCCTGTGGTCGTGCCTGTTCTTCGTCATGCTCATATTCCTGGGGCTGGACAGCCAGGTACGTCACTCCAGCCTGCTCTGTCCTGCCCTGCCCCCTGGCTCTCTTGCCAGCTGCTGCCTGTCCTGGCACTACCTCCCCCACCCCTTTCCCGAACCATCAATCTGGGTCCCCCACTGCTGTCCGGGACTCTTCCTTGGGATTGGTGGGGTGACCCAGGCCTTGAGACCCTCTTCTGTGAGGGGCCTCCCAGTCTGCTCCCGCCAGCGGGCACCTTTCTCCCAAATGTCCCCCCAGCCTTCTCCCAGCTCCCAGCCCCACTCCCTGGCCTTAGGGACAGCACATCTCCCCACGGCCAGCCCTCACTGCCACGACCCTCTGCTGTGGAGTTGTGGCCAGGAGCGGGGCTGCCTCCCACCAGGCCTCCCCACTGCTGCCCCCTGTTGGATGCCCCAGTTGGACGGACGGGGCGAGAGGAGGCCAGGGAGGTGCCAGCCCCACAGCTCTCATCCGACTCCACTCCCGCCCACAGTTCGTCTGTATGGAGTGCCTGGTGACAGCCTCCATGGACATGTTCCCCCAGCAGCTGCGGAAGAGCGGGCGGCGCGAGCTCCTCATCCTCGCCGTTGCGGCCGTGTGCTACCTGATGGGGCTCTTCCTGGTCACCGAGGTGAGCTGGGATGGTGGCCTGCAGGCTGGGGGAGCTGTGGCGGACACTGCCCACCCTTCCCAGAGCCACACTTTCCTAATCTGCCAAATGGGGGTGTGGACACCTGCCCCGCCTCCTTCACGGCGAGGTTGCAGGGCCCACATAACCGAATCTGCTGTATTAGTTAGGTCTCTTTTGGTTGCAGGTTGCAGAAACCTGATACAAGCTGGTTAAAGCAGGAAGGGGAATTTATTTGGTTAGGTGACTGGAAAGTCTAGAGATATTTGGGTTTTAGGCATGGCTGGATCCAGCTGCTCTCATGATGTCATCGGGATTGCTCCTGTCTGTCTTCTGGTAACTCCACTTGCAGACAGGTTTCCTCCTGTGGTGTTAGGGTGGCTGTTGCCGCTTCAGGCCTACCTCGTACTGTCCAGCCAACCCCAGAGGGAAGAGAGGGCCCTGTTCCTGACAGGGCAGCCAGTGTCTGGGCCATGAGTCCTACTCACGCCTGGAGCAGAGAGAGAGGGACACCCCAACTTGAAGAGCACAGAGTGAGGTGGTGTCAATTCCCAGAAGATGGGGTGCTGGGCAGACAAGATGATACAGATCTACCACAGCCCCCCGACGTCCTTGCAGATGTCGGAGATTATTGTCCTGATGTTGACCGGGGGGCCTGGGCAGGGCAGATTCCTTGCGGATGCAGGGAGTGACCGCCCATGGGCTAGGCAGGTGGCCCCGGGGTGCTTGCTGTGGCTGTGGGCAGCGTCCCTGCCCCCGCCGGCCAGGCCTCAGCCCCTCCCCCCGCAGGGCGGGATGTACGTCTTCCAGCTGTTCGATTATTACGCCTGCAGCGGCACGTGCCTGCTGTTCCTCTCGCTGTTTGAGGTGGTCTGCGTCAGCTGGGTGTACGGTGAGTGGGCCGGGGGTGGGAGGGGGGTCCTCCGGCCCGGCTGAGGGCAGGCTTTGCCCAGGACGAGAGGCGGGTGCCTAAGCCTGCTGGCTCCTGCGTCTTCGTGCTGCTGTCCTGCTCCGTGGGCAGCTTCCCCGCGGCTGGGTGGGGCTGGGTGACGGCACCGAGTTCCTGCGCAGCGAGAGGCGCTCAGGGACTGCGGCTTTGTCGCTGCAGAGGCTGCCAGAGGCCTTCGTCAGCGGGAATCCTAGGAGGGGGCCTTCGGGGCCACTCAGCCTGACCCTCCACAAATCCCCACTCTCTTTCCGACAACCAGGCCGTCACCCACGGTTCAGTTGGGTGCTTGCATGGACGGGGAGCTCATCCCCGTGTTTTCGCGTAGGCTTTTCCACCTACACCTTCCTTTCCTAGCCGCGGCGAACTCCACTTCCTGTTGGCTCCTGCCGACAGCCGCGGCCGCTCAGCCCTGAGATAACCCCCCAGCGATGGCGAACGCCACGGTGTCCCTGTCACCGCCGAGCCCCAGGAGCCTCCCCCCCGTGCCCAGCACGGTCCTGGCGGTCTCACCGTTGCTGTCCGCACAGCCCCGCGACGGGGCTCCGAGGGGCCGGGGCTCCCTAGGTGCGGCCGGCTCCCCTCCAGCGGGCCGGGCCAGTGTCGCAGGCTCAGGGCAGGCAGGACCAGAGGGCGCCACACAGCAGGGCCTTGGGAGAAGCCTCAAGTAGGGAGGTTTCAGCTTCACTGCCCCGAGCCCTCCACGCGGTGTCCTTTTCCTCCTTGGAGATGTCTGTTGCTGCCCCCCCTCAAGCACCTGCTGCCTTCCGGCTCCCTGCTCCTTTGCAAATCCTGTTCCCAGAGGGGGTCTGGCAGACTCCATCGCAGCGAGGTATAAACAGCTGGCGCTGAGCCTTAATGCGTTACGCCCGCCCAGCAGCATGCGGCCGTGAGCGGAGGGTGACTCTTTAGCGGCAGGAACCCCGCGTCGGTGTCGAGCGGGGAGGTATCTGGGCGGGCAGAGGGCGCTCCCGAGTGTCCCGCCGCTCGCGGCTGCGGTGCCGGGATGGAGCAAACGCAGGAACCTGGGGACACTGAGCAGCACGAACGACGCCGGCCAGTGTTTTCACTCGACACAGACCGGTCTTCTTACCACGCTGTCTGGGAGCTCGCAGGTGGCTCCTCTGGCGTCTAGAGTCTAGACCCGCGGTCCCCAGCCCTTTTGTCACCAGGGACTGGTTTCGGGGTGGACAGAGTACCCAGGGATGGGGGTGTGGGGGGTGCGGAGCTCAGCGGGGAAGCGAGCGATGGGCAGCGGCTGTAAACACGGACCTGCCGCTCGCTCCTGCTGTGCGGCTCTGCGGTCCCAGGTTTCACAGGAGACAGTTGCTGCAGGGACGGCGGGGGCGGGGTGGGCAGGGTGGCAGAGCTCTGCAGCCCAGTCCCAGCAGGTCCACGGCCCGGGGGTGGGGACTGCAGATCTAGGCCACCGCTCCGTCCCAGCAGCTCTCTAGCTCTATGTGGGCTTCGTGCGACAGGCTTGCACGGTGGCCTCTTGCTGTCCTGGCCTGCAGTGAACTCAGCTCTCTACGAGGTGAACAGGGGCTCACGCAGCCACTGAGCCCTGTGGAGGCTCACGCCTCTCCCTTGGGGTCAGGACAGCGGGGGTCTTCGTCGCCAGGCAGGACGGCAGAGATTGCACCAACAGCTCCTTGGGGCGACACCTGCCTCCCCACACTCCCCGCTCTGGGGCCGGGGTGCCAGGGACGCCTCGTTCCCGTGCCTGCTCCGGCTCCCCGCACGGGGCAGGCGGGGGTGGGGAGGAGCACAGAGCCGGGGGGGCCGTCACAGGTGCCCGCGGAGCCGTTCCCGCCCTCGGTTCTCACGCTGTCTCCCGCCGTGCCTGGCCAGGGGCAGACCGCTTCTACGACAACATCGAGGACATGATCGGCTACCGGCCCTGGCCCCTGGTCAAGATCTCCTGGCTCTTCCTGACCCCTGGCCTTTGCCTGGTAAGCACCCCCGCTTCCCTGCTGTCCCCGGAAGACTTCGGAGATGAGGGACAGGGCGCCTGACCTCCGGGGCTCTTCCCTGCCCGTCCCTGTCCCGGGAGCCCTGCCCCCTCCCCGTCGCGTGTGGTTCCCGCCCTTCTCTTCCGGGGCCGGCTCAGCATCACTCCGCCCCCGGCCCCACCCCTTTCTCGCGGCACCTGCTGCCTCCCGCCTCGTCGCCCGCGACCGCCCTTTCTGTCCTCCTTCCTTACGTGTCCCCCTGTCAGTCCGGGAGGTGCGCTGCGGCTTGGCCTGCCGTGCGCGGTGACTGTCACTCTTCGCCGCTCTGTATCTGACGTGTCCTCTGTCCTTGGCCGTGAGTCGCTGGCGAGAGGGCCGCGGTGGCCTCTGTCTCACCTGCGCTCGCCCTTCCTCTTCCCAGGCCACGTTCCTCTTCTCCTTGAGCAAGTACGCCCCTCTCAAATACAACAACGTCTACGTGTACCCTCCCTGGGGCTACTGCATCGGCTGGTTCCTGGCTCTCTCCTCCATGGTCTGTGTCCCGCTCTTCGTCGTCATCACCCTCCTGAAGACCCAGGGTTCCTTCAAGAAGGTAGGTGGCTGGCAGAAGTGACCCAGTAAGGCCTCAGAGAGGCTGAACCGAGGGAAGGACACACAGCAATCACACACTCCGAGTGTGGGGCAGCCCTTGGGCCTCATGGAATCCTACAGAGAAGGGCCTTTGAAGACCAGGCCAGTGGCCTTTCAGAAATGTTCTTAAAAGTCCCAGTGTCCTAGACCTGCGGATCGTCTGGGCAGGCTAGACAAGGGCTAACTGCCAAAGGATTAAGGAGGAAACTAAGTCACAAGCGAGAACGTGGAGGTGCCCGGCGCAGAAGGCTTACGCAGCATAGATTCCTTGCTTGTGAAAAACTGATAACCAGCTACACGGTCCGTTTATACACAGGCCCTGGCCTCTTTCCTCATCTTAACCCTGCCTGGGGACACATGCAAAAGGCTCCCTGTTTAGAGTTTGGGACATGCCTTCCCGGAAGGAGCTATAGCCAATGGCCCACGAAGGTAGAACTCTACTTTTCCTACAAGTAGTAGAAAACCCAACCTACAATAGTTTCAGCAAATAGTTTTTTTTTTTTTTAACATATCAAGGGCAAAGGTGGGGGCTGCTGGCATTTGGTCCAATGGCATAAAGAGGCCATCAGGGACCAGATTCTCCCTATATTTCTGCACTTCCATACTGAACGTGTTGTCTTTTCATCATCGTGTAGGTCACCTTTTGATCACAAGAAGGCTGTCATGACGCCAGCCATCACATCTGTACTCAAGGCAGGAAGAAGGGGGCAGGAGATGGTAACAATAACAATAATAGCAATAGTACTAATAGGAAAAATTGTACTTACTGAACACATAATAATAGTAACGATAATAACAAAAATAGACATTTATCGATCACTTACCCTGTGCCAGGCCCTGTTCTGTGAGGTGCATTTTATTATTCTCATTTTACAGATGAGGAGATTGAAGGGATTAAATTAACAGAGAGGTTAAATGAGTGGCCTGAGCCTGCGCAGGTCTCGGCGGCAGGGCTGGGACTGGAACCCGGGCGGTTCACACCCTTAACCACCCTGTTCTCGCCTCTTCTCTCATCTCAACCTGCTGCCCGTTCGCTCAGATGTGCGAGTGGCCCCGCGGGCCCAGCCGTGTGCCGGGCCCCGGGCGTGCTCACGGAGGAACCCGCTCTCCGCCTCTTCTCCCCACAGCGCCTGCGGCAGCTCACCACCCCCGACTCCAGCCTGCCGCAGCCCAGGCCGCATCTCTGCCCGCCGGGTGGCGCTGCCCAGGACGGCAGACGGCCCCCCACCAAGGAGGGGCTGATGGCTGGGCAGAAGGAGACCCATCTGTAGAGCGCGGCCGGACGCCAGGTGACCCCTGACTCAGGGCCACTCCCCACCCCGGGACGGCCCTGCCTTGGTCCCCACCGCAGACCTGCCGAGAACCTCAGGGGGGCCACGGGCACCTCCCTGGAGGCCGGACTCCTCTCCACAGCCGGAGCAGCCCCTCCCGGTGTGCACGAGCCGTGCTGGGCGCCAGCGCCCCGTTGGAACACGCCGTTTTGTCCGTGAAGGAGGGTGGTCGGGTGAGTCCCCCGTCCGATCACGACGCGGAGCCCCGCTGTGGGGAAGCTTCCAGCTGGCGCTTGCCGCGTCTGCACATGGGGACAGCAGCCATGATGGGAGTGCGGCCGTGGTCTGACTCCGAGAGCCCGGTGGAAGTCGCCGTGACAGAGGTGATGCCCGAACGCGCCACGGTGGATTCTGAGTTCCGTCGGAGGGAGCCGTTCCTTGGGCTCAATGTTCCGAGGGGCCCGAGAGGAGGGAGGAGAGAACCAGCGAGGGGGGAAGCCTTCACACGCCCTCTCTGTTTGGAGTTTTCCCGGAGGGGGTCTCAGGGTGTCCCCAGCTCCAGCCGCGGTTCCACAGTCTTCCCGCAGCGTCCTCATCCACTCATGGAGCACCGGGCTGCAAAGATGATTCTAGACTTCACAAACACGGCACGCGCGCCTTTCCTCTCCTTCCTCTGCCCGAGGCAGACATTGCTAAACGACTGCAGATTCTTGCCCACCGCACAGTCCTCCAAACAGCGCTCCGGTCAGCTCCGTTTGCCTTCCTGCTTCTAACCCAAACCCCCGACTTCACGGCCGGGAAACCCAGGGCCGGAGTGACGAAGCGACTTTTTCAAGGCCACACGGCTTCTTGGGGCGGAGATGTGACTGAAGCCTGGTCTCCTTGTGCTCGGGCCGTGTTCTTCCCTGAGACCCCCCCCCAGTGAACAAGCAGGTGTGGACCCCCCGTCCCGTGTGCTGGTCTCCTTCTTGCTGGCCCGTTCCCGTTGGGATGCACCGTCTTGGGGTGGGCGGGAGAGAGGGCCCCTCTGCGGAGGGTTGGGGGGCCCTCCCCACACTGGCACCCCGACTTTCGTGTCTTCCGCCGGCCCACGGGCATCTGACCAGGTGTCTTCTGTGGACCCTTTGGTCCTTGCCACTCCGCCCCAGGGGGTGCCACGGAGCCACGCGAGCCGGGTGCCCCACTCAGCGGCGCGTGGGGGGCGCCGTCTTTGCTCCCTCCCTCCCTCACCAGCTCCTCTCCCCACGCCCCTGCTAGGCCCACCAGGTCCTTCCCTGGCAGGGGAGGCTTCCTGGAGGAGGCGGGGCTCGGGCAGGTTCAGCGCTCCTGCGCTCAGAGGGGAAGGAGGAGAGGCAGTGGGGCCGGCGGCACTTCAGGACAGCTTCCTGGGGCAGAGGAGGCCTCCCGGGGGACGCTGTCACCAAGAGCCGCTGCCCAGCAGCAGGAGTGAAAATCTGGTCTGGCCGGGGCGAGGTCCGTCCCCGGCAAACCCGGGCCGTCCTCAGGGCACCCACCATCTTTCACCCGGACTCTGGGCTGGTGAGGACGAGTCTGGAGGCACGCTGGGCAGGACCGATGTCCCCACCCCTGGCTTCTGGCTGTCCCTCCTGCCTCCGCCTAGACTGCTCTGGGCACCTGTGCTCACCCTTCTTGGACGGGCCAGTGAGCAAGGAAGGGCGGCCAAGAGAGGGGTGGAGAGAAACTGCTCCGGCCAGACCTGGCCTTTTTGAGGCCAGGTCGTCCGGAAGGGAAGGGCGCCAGTGCCACCTGGTGGCGGAGGGGCCGCGCCCTGGTGGGGAGGGCTGCGCAGGCCCTCCCTGGAGCTCCCGCCTCTGGGGTGCTGCGCCTCGCGGCGTGGGCGCCCGGGCAGCTCCCTCGCTGGTCGGTGGGCACCCGGCTCCCGGCCTCTGTGTCTCCCGGGAGGCCCCCGCCGGCGCCGCAGCGACTCCCCAGTCGCTAGGCCGCCCAGACCCCGCCGTGCGGGAGGGCGGTGCCGGGGCAGGGTGGCTCCTTGCTCTTCCGCTCCCTGGGGCCAGAGGGGTCTGGGTGGCGGGGCCGGGACTGGAGGAACGGGAGGGAAAGGGCTTCAAGCGACGTCGCAGCTCCTGGGCCCCCCTCGCGGCGGCTCCACGACGTGCGTAGGAGCAGCAATCCCACCCTCTGAGGCGCCCAGAGCACGCATGGGAGCGAGAACAGCCGTGGAGTCCTGCTGGCAGCTGTTTTCCCCTCATCCCGAGGCTGCTTGAGTTTCGGACTGGCGGTCAGGGGCCAAGTCCGGCAGCTGCGGTCTGTTTGGGCGCTGTGGCATTGAAAAGTGCTTTTGAAGCGAATGCCTTTGGCATTCCAGTTTGCCGCAGTCTCCACTCCTCCCTGTTGCTGTGCCTGCCTGTCCCACACGTTCCTGTCTGAAGGCGCTGGCATCGGCCAGCGGGGAGGAAGTGAGCACTCTCCGGGTGAGCCAGGGGAAGCTGCGGGCGGTGGTCTCGGAGCCCCAGCGCCTCAGAAGGCCTGGTCGTGGGGTGGCCGCCGACTCCAGCTTGCCTGGTGTGGACCTCACACTCCGCAGACCCTGCGGTGCTGTTTATTAACCCTGGGCTCGTCCCCTCCCGCCAGACTCTTCTCTCCTAAGGGAGGGCAGAGGCTGCCTTTAATGTCAAAGCGGCGCTGAAGAGTCAGGCCACGGCAGCTCCCACGGAGCAGAGGGACTCCAAAGCTGAGTTGTCCGCGTGGACACGAGCGTAACCAACAGAGCGGACCACGTGGCGGGAGCTGAGGCCTCCTGCCAGCCGCGGCACCAGCTTGTTGGCCCGGTGGGTGAGCCACCCTGGAAGTAGGTCCTCCAGCCACCACGCTGACGGGTGACAGCAGCCCCGGCTGACATGCCGCCTGCCACTCACGAGAGGCCCGAGCCGGGAACGCCCAGCCCAGCGGGCCCTGACGCCCCGAGCCCCAGCCAGGGGCGAGAAACGCGCCTGGTTGTTTTAAGACACTAAGTTTCAGTAATTTGCTGAATACCGGCCCCTGGCTTCCCAGAGCACAGGGTCAGGTGTGGCCCTTGTCAGAGGTGTCCCTTAGACCGCTGGGGACAGAGACCCCCTCGTGCTCTTCCTGTCCGGGCCTGTGCCTTTCTCCCATCCCCGTAGCTCCTCTGACCCCTCCAGGGCCCTCGCTGGCCCTGGGCCCACCCTCTTCCCCTGGCTCCGAGGCAGGGGAGGCCTGGCTTCCTCCGTCCCTGCCCCTTCGGGCCTTGCCTGCCCAGCTCGACCGGGCCCACGTGGCTTCCCTGCGGATTTGGCTGCTTGGTGAAGTAACACGGGCTCGTCGGACCGGACAGGGATGAAAAGCTTGTCAACCACCTGTCGATACAGAGAGGCCGGGGGAGGACGGGGGACACCCAAGAACCAAGCCTGGCACATTGCCCAGGGTTGAGACGGGCTGGTGCCTGGACCCCGAACTCAGCTCTCTGCTTCCGGTCAGGAAACAGCAGGGGCAGGTGGCTCATCCTGGCCGGGAGCCCTCCGGTGGCCGACGGGGAGGTGAGCACAGAGCTGCCAGGCGAGGCCACGGAGAGAGGAGAGCTCCCCGCCCGCCTGCGCCTTCTCCTCCGTATTAATTCTAATCCTTCCTTCTCGTGATTCTTCAGGGCTTTCTGCATAGACAGTCAGACTCTCTGGAAATAATGACCATTTTATTTCTCCAATCATTATTCCTTTTATTTTTTTTCTTTGTCTTCCTTCCCTTGGTAGCTAGAGGTGGTGGCCACAGGCATCCTTGCCTCCTCCCTCGTTTTGACGGGGATCCTGACATTTCGCTGTGAAGTAGGATGGCTGATGTGGGTTTTTGATAGATACCGTTTATTAGGCTATGACGTCTTTCTTTTGTTTCAAGTTTACCGTTTGCTTTCAAATCAAGAACAAGTGTTGAACTTTATCGATTGCTTTTTCTGCACCTATTGGGATGATCGTATTGTTTTTCTTTTAATTTGTTAATGTAGTCAGTTACATTAATAGATTTTTCTACTTTTTAACCATCTTTTCATTCCTGGGACAAACCCAGCTGGGGTCTGTCGTATCATTTTTTTGTTATCCAATGCTAGGTTCATTTGCTGGCATTTTTGTTAAGCATTTTTGTATTTATGCTGTAAGCAAGCTCTGTCTGCCGTCTGCCTTTCTCACACTGCCCTGTTTTTAAGGTTACATGAGGCTCGTAAAAGGGAGTCTTGGGGATGTTCTTTTTCTTTTTCCGAAAGAGTTAATATGAGATTGGAACCACCTTTTCCCTGAATTTGTGTAGTGTGATTTCGTAAAATCATCTAGCCTGCTGTCGCGTGTGGCGTTTTTTTCGAGGGTTTGTGTATAGACTTTTAACTATACATTCAGATTTCTTTAATGACTATACATCTTAAATTCTCTGTTTGTTCTTGAGCAAATTTTGATATTTTTCTAGGACAGTGTTCATCTCGCGAAGGCTTCGAACTTACCGCCGGAGGGTTGCAGCTTGTTTGTAGTATTCTATTTTTTAAAGAAATCTCTGCAGTTTTCGCATTATGTCCTCCTTCCTGGTCCTCAGGTTTTTTGTTTGTGCCGACTCTCTTCTTCATGGTCAGTCTTGCAAGAGGCTTGTCAGCTTTATTAGTCATTTCCTAGAAGTGACTTTGGTTTTATTAGTCCTTTCTATTGTATTTGCATCTTCCATTTCATCATCTCTGCTTTCGTCTTTATTGTATCTTTCCTTCTATTACTTTGGGTTCATTTGTTGTTCTTTTAGTGACTTCTTTTTTTTTTTATATTAAGTAGAGATGGGATCTTCTTCTTGCTCAGGCTGGTCTCAAACTCCTGGCCTCAAGCATCCTCCCTCGGCCTCCCAAAGTGCTGGGATTACAGGCCTGAGCCACCGGGCAGGCCTGTTTTTGTAACTTCTTAAGTTAAATAGTCCCTTTATCCGTAAGAGAATGACGAACCCGTAGGTC